CCCCCCTTCCACCCACCATTTCTTCCACCACAACCACCCCCCGTCACCTCTTTCACGGTCGGAGATTGTTACGGTCCCTGCTTTCGGCCCGTTGCTGCTCAGTGGTGACGGCCTCTTCTGACGTATGCCTCTTTAGCCACTGATGCCGGCCGCCGAAGCATCCCCCGTCGCATCTTCCGATTCCGGTTTTGTCATGATGGAAGACCGGAAGAGAGCCGCTGCCTACGACCATAATGATTCTGCTCCACCGTTGAAGAAGCAGGCGACTTCGGTCAATGGTGGTAGCAAACCCCATCCCGATGCTGATATGCCCTGGAAAGATGACCTGGAGGTAAGTCCCCGATCTGCCCACGTGGGTGCCAACTTATCCCAAGGGTTCCCCTAGACAGGATTGGAACGCCCAAAGTCGACTCTATCGCTGCCCTCCAGGTGACATACTGACGTCTCTTCGTCGCAGCGTTTCCAAAAAGACGCAATATGGCGCCAGATGCAGGAGTACAAACGTGAGAAGGTGTCGCTCGAGGCCAAGCTGAAGGAGATGTCCAAAGCCACCGCCTACCACAATGACCATCTCCGTATCATAGACACCTGGTACAAGCAAGTGAGTAGATCATTGTATTTTGCTCATCCCGTGCAGATTATCTGACAACCGACAGTTGGTCGACGAGGTCAAATTGCTCATGGGCGCTGCCGAAGAGGATGCCAAGGGTGGGTCCCACTCATGCCGGCCGACGGTTTACATGGAAACGCTAAACAAATTCCCAGAACACCCGGCTTTCCAAAGCAGCCTGCTGTTCGATGATGTCGATAAATTCGAGAAGCACTTAAAGTCCCGTTCGGAGGATATCCGCCAGGTCATCTCTAGCTTACTGTCCAAATCCCCCAGGACCACGCCCGAAGCTTCAGAGTTACAGACTCAGCTCGCCAAAAAGCTGGCTGAGGAGAAAGCCACCATCGCGGAATTAGAGAAAGCTCTTTCTGAAAAACAGCAACTCGAAGAAAGTTTAGAAGAAGCCTCTCTGCGGTACATGGTAGCCGAGAAAAAGCTCGATCGTGCACGAAGCTTGACGGTTGCCAAATTAGAGAAGCAGTACATTTTAGGAGCCCAACGCCCCGGCGGCGATAGTGCGTCTGCACCCAAGGAAGAGCCTTCCGCGTCCAACGGCGCGACCCCTAGCGGCGAGCGGAGTCCCGCTTTGGAAGAAGCCCACAGCAAACTCGTGGCCGTGTCTGAAAAGCAGAAGGAGCAGCTTCAGAAATTGGAGAGTGAGAATGCAAAATTGCTGACTCAAATAACGGATCTAAATATCAAGGTACGCCTACCCGGTTGGGCCAGCTAGACTCGCATAGTGCTAATGTGAGATGGGCAGCATTCACGACTTACGGACGATGACTACGCGCACACGGACTTGTTCAAGCAATTGAAATCCCAGTACGATGATGTTGTTACTCGAATCAACCATTTAGAAGCGACCAATGCGCAACTACGAGAAGAAGCGGCAAAATATCGATCGGAGCGAACCGCCTATCGCAACCAGGTTGATGAAGAGGCACAAAATGCGATCGCTGAGAAGGAGGCGCAATTAATGCGGGCAGAAACAGATTTGGCACGGATACGCAACGCGCGCGACGAACTTTTGGCGGACCAGCAAATGCGCAAGGCTGCGCAAGAGCAGGAGAAAACCGCGGCTACAAAGGTGCAAGAACTTGCAGATGCTGGACAGGCTCGGATTACGGCGCTAGAGTCCGAGGTTCAGAGGTTGCGTATGGAATTAGATAAGGAGAGGAGCACGTCAAAGAGCGTCGATGAGATCCCGATCGAAGAATTGCGTACTAAGTTCAGCAACCTGGAACGTCAGTTTTCGATGCTTAATACCGAATTATCCTCGATGCAGGTCGCCTGCAAGAAGTACTCGTCCTTGGCGTCACAGAAAGTTACCGATTTCAGCGCCTTGGAGGAGAAGGTCGCCCGACTTATCGCGGAGAAATCCAAGGCCGATCAGAAATATTTTGCTGCAATGAAGAGCAAGGAGGCCAGGGAACTGGAGGTTCGCACATTACGCATGCAAAATTCGAAGACTTCGGACATCGTGTCGCAGCTGAAGGAATCCGAGGCAGCTACCCGTTCTTTGCTTGCCAACATGGAAAAGCAGGTCAGCGAGACCAAGGAAGCGTTGAATCTGATGATGAACAAGAATTACGCCGCCCAGCAACAGGTCACGGAGAAGAACATCACAATCGAGGGCTTGAACCGGCAGGTGGCCGAACTCAAGGCGTTGTCAGCTTCCAAGGATTCGACATTGGCTAGCGCCTCGAGTGCTTGTCGCCAAGCGGAAACAGAGGTAGAGGGCCTGAAGGTGACCCTGGCGGATACCAAGAAGAGCCTGGAGAACTGGAAGAATAAGAGCCTCGGGAACTCCTCGTCTGAATATGAAATGCTGAGGGTATGTTTATATTCTCTCCCCATTACCGTGGTTTTGCCATATCGGATCATTCTCGCTAACGTACCCTATAGACTCTGGCACTCTGCACTGTGTGTCGCCGCAACTTCAAGAACACGGCCATCAAGACCTGTGGTCACGTGTTCTGCAAAGAATGCGTGGAGGAGCGCCTCACATCTCGGTCCCGAAAGTGTCCCAACTGCAACAAGTCCTTCGGCAACAACGATTACATGCATATCACACTGTGATTCGTTCAGAACCCACCCTCCTGGGTCCATACCCTCAACTTCGTGTATCATAGTCTCCTCTTTCTTCCCTTCTTGCCTTTCTCGCCTTCCCCTTTTCACTCACCTACGTCACTTTATTACGGCTTGATTTTTCGTTTACCCATTGCGCTCCATAATCATGGAAAAAGGCTCATGGTGCGGTGTTTTACTGTGGTTTAGCAGGACAGGATATCAGAGGGCCGGCGTTCGATCTAAATCTGTTCCTATTGATCGGATATTTTCTTTGCATAGTGGCCGGGTTGTTTGGTCTTCGGGTTACCGGTTTTTTTATTTGTTTCTTTTTAATTCTTCTTTCTCTCTTCGTTTCTCTTTTCTGCCTCTTATTTCTTTTCTTTTCTTTTTCTTTTCCCTTTTCTTCTCATTACCCTCCGGTCCAGAGGAGTTGTTTTTGGATACCCACGTCAGTGTTCGAGCGGCACCTGGGTGGGACAATACGGTGCATGTTGTAGGATTAAATAGGAAGTCACGGCGGAGAGAAAGATGACGAATGCAACTATATTCATACAAGAATGTCACCTTTGACGAGAAGAGACGCGAGACAGCTATCGTGGTGATCTATGCATTATGAGTTAAAGATTCTACTATATAGAAGTTCATGTCGTCCCACCCAAAGATCGAGGGGTGGGACGATTTGTCCTGCATCTTCGACGGGAGTATCCCACTCCCGTTCTATGCGTTGAGTGATCATGTTTTGTAGGCCCTTGCTGGCCAGAATGTTCTGGGCCTGATACGGGCCCATGACGGACGCACGGACAGCAGCGCTAAGGACTGCCTTTGCATGGTTCAACATAAAGACATAGGCAGTCTGGTGGGCGTCCATGCCCATGGCCAGACACACCACCCCCCATAATGGCGCAAAGTGACCTTTGGGCCCTAGTTCATCAGTACCCAACGAGGACTTCAATATCTCGGAGAATTCCTCAACCACCTTCACAGCCTCGGCAGTGTTGGGGTTAGCGTGGAATGGGTTGAACGCATACGTTTTCCGGAAAGCGCGCTCCCAGACCCCGAGCAATGCCCGCCCTTGGGCGAGACTCGCCCGCTGGGCAACTATGCAGGGGGTGGACGCATCGAGGTCATTGTCCAGGGTCTCCAAGTCTTCTGGGCGTCTGTATCCTGCCAGAACGTATGGAAGTGAGGTACTTGCCATTGAAGCGATCGAGAGCTTCAGGAAGCGCTGGAAGGATGCAATCGGCGTCACCGAGCGAGGAAGGGGTTTGTTGTGCGCCAAATACGACTCGAGACCGCTGGAGTAGGCGAACGAGCCCAAGGGAAGGGCTGAATCCGACAGGAGGAGCAGCGCATGGCTAGGCACTATTCCTGTAGCATCTGGAGCGTAGGAATTGACGGTTAGTATCTTGTAGATAGGGGGCGGAAGAAGGAGGTGTACGGGGAAGACGTCCGGGGGGCAAACACACCCTCCGGTACCGGTAGATATGAACCCCCGCCCTTGTGCGACGCAGAGGCCGACGCTAGACGAGCACGTGCATTGCGCAGACGGTCCTCGAGATCCACGATCTCTTGCTCGATATCCTGCACGTTGGTCTTCACTGTCATTTGCCCTCACCAAACAAGTTAAGGCGGCCGGTACATGGCGGTGATGAAGAAAGGGAGACCCGCGGGAGGAACATTCGCCTTTAAATACTATTCTTAGTTTTATCCGGTCGGCTGTCTTCCTTATCAGTCACCTCCGGACCTCCCCGGGGGCGGTGCCGCCCGGCAGAAAACCACCGCGGCTTTTCGAGGCACGAGATGCTATCCGGCTTGCTCTCGCGCTCCTCCAATTGCTTCATTTTCCATCATGCGAAGACGGTAGTTCGGAGACCAGCCCGGGTTTCTCTGCTAATTTACCAATCATGTCGGGCAAGCGTCTGTTGGACGCGATCCAACTCTTCAATGTCGCCAAGTCCGTGGCCGTGAAGCACCTCGAGGTGCGGCAGCGCCAGCTAGACTTATTTACCAGGACTTCGTCCCTCACCAAAGGCATCAAAAGCCAAGCGGATGGCCTTTGTATGACCGCACAAGCTGCGGCAGCCCTAGCAAAGCGGTTCAATGATGATCCTTCTCCCCCCCAATCGGCATCCGCACCGCCACCCCGGTCCCCGAGCTCATCCCCCACGCACACGAATCTCTCCCCGGATGAGGGCAGGAAAGCGCAACGACAGGCAGAGTCACAGATCCCGTCGTCTACAGCAGAGACCACCGGTTACGGAGCTAGTCAATTGGATGTTAGCCAGCAGCAAGATGTGTTCTATGAACCCTCCACACACACAACCCCCGGCTCGTCTGGTCTTCCTAGGGTTAAGCTACCTAAGACATCCAGCGACACGCAAACAGGCATCAATACTGAAATCAATGCGGACGTATTCCACTCCCCCGTCGGTGCCGAGAAAGCCGCGTCCACAACCCAGCCTACGGAACAACAGGAGGAGATTTCGGAGGATATGATGAAGGAGATATTCCACAGCCCCAAGGTTGCTAGGATGCTATCTCGGCAAGCTGCTGCAGATCTCAGATACAAAGGAAGGTCCCCGACGCCTCCACCTGACGTCAAACCCATCGGGAAGGAGGGACTGTCGAAAGAAGAGGCCGAGGTGGTGGATGAAATTGTGTCAACAACAGCAGTAAGTGCAAGCAGCCGCAAGCAACCGGAAGTCTATATCTAAAAAAGTGCCCGCAGGTGGAACCTGAGACTGCCGCAGCCATGAAGCAGCAGGCAACGTACCAGATGATTGAGTCTCGCGTTCCAGCTTCCCGACTAGGCAGGCTATGGCAATACGGTGGCCTAGCCACATCCATGGCCTTTGGCGCCGTCAGCGAAAGCCTCCGACGAGCCACAGGGAGCCAATCCGAAAGCACCGGGTCCCTCATGTTCAGCGCAGGGAACATGGAACGTCTCGTAGCCAAACTCTCCAAGATGCGTGGGGCGGCCCTCAAGCTGGGGCAGATGCTGAGCATCCAAGGTACACACCATCTAACCCCTAAACCAACCTCCCTCTAACACCCCCCAGACAGCAAAATGCTCCCCGACTCCATTCACGAGGTCCTCCAACGAGTCCAAGATCGCGCAGACTACATGCCCGCCTCGCAACGCGATAAAGTCCTGACCGACAATCTCGGTCCCAACTGGCGCGACCTCTTCTCCTCCTTCGACGAAATCCCCATGGCAGCCGCCTCCATCGGCCAGGTCCACGGCGCTGTCCTCGCCTCCACGGGACAACCCGTCGCCGTCAAAATCCAATACCCAGGCGTAGCCGACTCCATTGACTCCGACCTCAACAACCTCTCCATCCTCCTAACCGCCTCCCGCCTCCTCCCACGCGGCCTCTACCTCGACAAAACCATCGCCAACGCCCGCACCGAACTCGCCTGGGAATGCGACTACCACCGCGAAGCCACCTGCGGCGAGCACTTCCGCTCGCTCCTCGCCGACGACCCCGTCTTCCACATCCCCGCCATCATCCCCGAAGCCTCGGGCAAACAAGTCCTCACAATGGAACGTCTCAACGGCATCGCCGTCACCAAAATCCAAACCTTCACCCAATCCCAACGCGACTGGATCGGCACCCAAATCCTCCGCCTGTGTCTTCGCGAAATCACCGAATTCAAATACATGCAGACGGACCCCAACTGGACTAACTTCCTCTACAACGCCGAGACGAACCGGCTCGAACTGCTTGATTTCGGCGCTTCGCGCGAATACCCCGATGAGTTCATCACTAAGTATGTGAACACGCTGATCGCGGCAGCGAGGAACGATCGTCTACGCTGTGCGGAGCTGTCCCGCGAACTGGGATATCTTACTGGCCATGAGAGTCAGGAGATGGTCGATGCGCACGTTACTTCCGTTATTACTATTGCAGAGCCGTTCATGGAGTCGTCGCCGGATGTGTATGACTTCAGAAATCAAACTATTACGGATCGCGTGAGGGGGTTGATTCCCCTTATGATTCGGGAGAGGTTGACGCCTCCGCCGGAGGAGACGTATAGTTTGCATCGGAAGTTGAGTGGGGCGTTTTTGTTGTGCGCGAGGTTGGGCAGTCGAGTGCCATGTAAGGAGTTGTTTAGGGAGGCGGTTAGGAAGGCGCAGGTTGCGGGAACTATTGAGAAGGTGTGATTATCTATTAGGGGGAGTGTGTATTTTCAGGGGGTTGTGGAGGAGGTATATGATTCTCTTCTTTGGATTGTATCATTAGCTTAGATTGTATGTATAGAGATTTACATCAACGGGTTTGTATTTATAGTAGTGTGGTGTGGTGTAGCTCTGCATGGGTATTGGTATATGATACATGAAAAGAAGCAAGGCTGGTGGCATGGCATGACATGGCGTGGTGAGTATCTGTATGTTGTCGAGGATGAAAAGGTTAGGGTCCTAATTTCTGAAATTGTCTGTGGTATATGTAGTAAAGAATGTATCCAAGGCTGGTGGTCCAAGGTATCTTGGTTCGTGTTTCTTTGATGGAACGTGGGCGTAGGTATGTCGCTCTGATTGCTTAATATAAGCCAATCGTCTTCGTCACTTCGTGTCTCGTTGAAGATCGTTCATAAGCGACCAGCGCTAAGGCTGAAACTCGGGACCCCACCCTAACTCAACGAGAATGCCCGATACCGAACATGGCGTTCCAATAGTTCTTCACCCCCTTGCAGATGCCCTTCTTGTCCTTCCAAGTACTGAATTTATCCTCGAGTTCGCACGCCGTCCAAAGAATCTCGTCCCAGAAGCGCTTTTCGACATCGGTGCCAAAGGCCTTAATTACTTCGTTGGGAATCGTCCATGCGCGGGTATAGCTCCCGTCATCTGCAAAAGCTGGGTTCACGGCCTGTTTGTCAAACACAGTGGCCGGGTTGAACTTGGGGAAGTTGGCGTGAATGAAGAATGCTCGGGGGGCGGGCGCCTTCGATCCATGAACCCGCCACTCACCCTTCTGCGTCAAGGCATAGTCCTCGATTGGATCGAACTGCACCATCGCAGAGCCGGCCAGACCGCCCTGTGTGCCGTGGCCGATGGCGCAAATTGGCTCCGAGACCTGGTAGTATGGCTCTTGCAGGGTCATGGCGGCTGCGACGAAGGTTTCTTTATCGCCTTCCCCAGCTGCGCCTTGCGAAAGCAATGGGTAGTAGAAATCGGGACCCCACATGTTATAGTAGGTGCTTAGGAGAAGGGTTTTCATGTGCGTCTTCTTGGATATCAAAACCTCCCCGGATTCGCTGGACTGTCGGACTGAGTTCTCAGGATATGGCTGAGAGGCGATTTCATAGTAGTAGGAGGAAACGGTGGATGCCCAGAAGTCAGGCCAAGTGACCATGTTCGTCGAGGGAAAGGGCCCATTGACGAATAGCATTTCCGGTGGGTGAAGCGGGAACGCATCGGCGTCTAAGAAGAGAATTTCTTCAAAAGACGAGAACAGCATTGCGAGAAGCTTGAATTGGTATTTCTCGACTCTCATATCACCAGGGACGGCGTCGAGAATTTCCGACAGGAGCACGCATCGCGCGTTCAGCGATGGCAGGACGACTTCGCAGATGTGATCTTCATATTCTTCCTTGTTTGCGAGGAAGACTTCGACCGGTAGCTTTGAGCCCGTTCTGCGAAGCATTCGCAGCGAGATCACCAGCACGGGTAGGTAAGAGCCCCCCGCGGTGGAAACCAAGCCTCGGGTATTCTTGGTATAGTTTAGTTGGGGCGGGTTGGTATTGATTGCATCGACAAATCCGCTGTGTGCATTTTTCATCATATCCACGTCAAATGGGAGCATGTCCAGCAGCTCCGGGCGGTCTTCAGGGTTCGACTGTTCGAATCTGATTGAAGGCGCCGATCCTAATCTCAGAGGTGGCTCGCATTTTGGCTCATGAGCGGTCAGAAGTGGCTGAAATTGGCGCCAGAATTGAATGTGACCTTCGGTATGTCTGTTGCTCGAGAGAGGCTGTTGGTGTGTTTGTATGGATCGCACTTGCTCAGGGAGAGGATAGCTGCGCCATCGTGAATAGGACCAAGCGAATGTTAATAAGATAAATATCGCAAGTAGTAGGGAGCGCACTCGTAGAAACGCTCGAGAGGGGAACATTGTGTCTGGTATGCTGCGACAGGAATGTCAACGGCTGTCAACGAGTTCGTGGTCTCGTCAAGATCGCAAAGTATAACACGGAGGGTCTGACGTAGTCGTTATATCGGAAAAGACACCGCTAGCGCAGGGGAAGAGGCATTGGAGGCGTTCGGGAAGGCGTCAGCAAGGTTCGACAGGAATTGTAACGAGGCTGATGAATGGAGAAGACATGCGTGTCAACGAAGATAGGAACTGCAGGGCACCCTTGAGATTAGAAACAAAGGAAGGAAATGAGTGTTTGGGGGGGTGTTTTTGCAAGGGAAGATTGAGAGACGGAGGGAGATGAACAAGCGAAGCGAACCCTGGACAGATTGCAGGATGGTCCGTTCGAGACCGAGGGGTTGTTCTTGTTGATGGTTCGAGAGACCCACCGGACGATGCTCGGTGATAAGCAGTCCACTTCAGAAGTAGTTTGTCCTGAATAGGGAGAGTAATAGTGTAGTGGTAGGGGTATGATTCATGTCAAGTGGAAATAAACAATCAGGAGTGATGACATCGGTGTTTTTTGGTGGACCATGGTAGAATAAAATGGGCTGCAGTGTAATGCTTAAGTTAATATTTATACTTTTTTTTTTTTTTCGTGCTTCCCCCAGTAGTTCGTATTGCGGTGAGAAGGGGCGGGAAAAGAAGAGCAAATGAATCGATGCTTAGGGTAAATATGAACAAGAATCTGTCTATAAGTAAGGTGCCAAATTAGTAGAAATTGAAGACCATGCCAATTGTTAATAAGATAAACATGAGGGTGACTCTCTGCCTGTCTCATTGAAGTATAATTGCAGTGGGGAATTTGGATAAGCGGCAGGGTCCATCCAGGCTGTCGCGGATTGATTGCGTCAATTAATCCGGAGATTACCAGCCCCATCCGCCAGGGAGGATCCCGTCTGCCTCCGCTAGTATCTGTCATGCATTCGGTCGAACCGCTCATATCTTGTAGAAGTTATGGTCTACTGCGAAATAAACTAACAGATGCTAATGCTAAAATATATAGTACAGACGTAATCACTACAGTTTCCGCCCACATGCCCTAGACTAGGCTCAGGATTAAAAGCGCCCGTTGAATCCTCGGCCCGGCTCCTTCTTCCTCTTCGAGAATCCCAGACGATGCCATGCTCCCCCCATTCGGTCTATCACTCCGAAGTATCCTCGTCGGATGCGTTGGAATCGCTCGGAGAAGAAGCTCTTTTGACTTTGTCAAGTAGACGTCCATGAAAACTATCCCGTCTACGGGGAGCTGTGTTAATCTTCCGGGAACTAAACCATCGATGAATCGCCTCCACAGTAACCGACGACCCATAGTGTATTGATATTCCCAGAACCACCCCCATTATTGCGGCTACTGTGAGGTAGCTAAGAATGGCCTAGGTGAACCATAAGTGTTCATTCCTCGGGTTAAGACCAGTACTTGCTTAACAAGATGAAAAATCGAGCCACTCATACCTCGAATTTGAGTAAAAGCCTTAGCGGAGAAAGGAGCACATAAAGGAGGGCATGGCCTAGGATCCACAGGGGCGAGGCTAGTACACTGAATAGCCCATAGATCCAGGAAGCCAGGTAAGCCAGAGCATAGAGCACGGCACCGAAGGTCGCTGTCAAGACGGTGACCCAAGTCATTTGCGTGGCTAGAGTGTTTCAGAAAGCGGCTGGTTGGTTACATGGAGCATTCCCCGTGCGTCAACCGAGGGAACCTATGGCATGACTTTGCTGTGCAATGGGAAGGGATACGGCAGTAAAGTAAATATAGAGTGAATAATGCTGGGGTTGGATGATGGCGCTGTTTGTATGGTAAGCGGTCTGCTGTGGCAGAAATGTGTTGGTTGGCTGGCTGGTTTGCTTCATCGATTGTTATCGTTATGAGTGACTACTCTTAGTATTGTATGAGTGAAACCAATCCTCTTTCATCACATGGGACTTCATACTCCTTTATGGAAGGATGCCATGAGCATGATTGGTATATCTTCTTTGAGATGACAGAATGTGCTACTATAAACTAGCCAACTAAATATACCAAGTCACCATCGGAGATGACAGCCGACCGTCGGAGGAAACCAGGAGGGAGCCCTAAACCCTAAGGGGAACTTCTCCATGGGACTAGCCCGTCCGGGGTCGACGACATCGACATCATCAACTCTTACTTGCTGCCCATCGCATTCTTTCTCTTCGATCCTCGCCCGCTGCTCTGTTTATATACCTCTTTCCACCCCATCCATGAGCCGGCGCTTTTCCTATCCCGGTCAGCATATATTCTAGAGCTCATCTGCATCCGAAGGCCTCTGTCTTCCCGATATTTTCCCTTCGCCCCGACTCCCTCTTTATTTTCCGTTACCCCTCCGCCTTCCAAACCCCGACACCATCTGATGCTGGCATCTCAACCTTGACCACAGAACCCACCCACCACTCGTCTCTTGTCTTTAATACGGCATTGGACCCGCCTGACTCAGTTCCCTTTCCATCCTACAAGCGCCTTCCACCGGCTCCCTGTTCCAAATGGGCAACAATCCTTCCAAACCCCCTGCCGGAGATGCCCAATCGCCGTCGGCTCCCTCGGCCGCGGCGGGGGACAAGAAAGTAGCTCGCCGGTCATCGATTCATACACCATCGGGCACCACCAAGGCTTCCGCAGCCGACCCCTCCGCCACTAGAGAAACCGCAACGGGCCACCCGACCTCCCAAGCTCAACCATCCGTTCAGCAGCGTCTACAATCCCGCAATGTCACGGATCTACCGACGCGGAATCTAGATCGGCCAGACCGTCAGGTCCCGAAGAAACCAGATACTCGCTCCAAAGACATTCCTGCCCCTGATCCGTCCAACCCCGTTCAAGTTCCGGGTTCTCGGGCGGCCGCAAAACGTGACCCTGTAGCACCCTCGGGCCCTCCTCCCCATGCCTATTACAGTGCTTCTGTTCATCTTCAACGCCCACCGCGCATGCCTCTGCCCATTGGAGATGCCACAGCCACCCCTGGTTCGCCTATTATTGGTCCGGAGGATTCGTATATGGGATCGGTTGCACCCGACCATTTGTTGGATGAACACCACCAGTCGAGACAATCTGCCGTTAGTGGCGCCACGGTCGATGACGATGAAGCATTGGATGAACTTCAACCTTATACTCCGAGCGGCGTGGGAAGAGCTGTGCCAACCTTGATAGAGTGGACTGCCCCTGGTGATAAGGTCTACGTTACGGGAACGTTTGTGAACTGGGAAAAGAAATTCCGTCTACATCGGAGGTATGCCATGCTGCCTCATCCACTGTCTCATATGTCCAGGCGCATTACTTGTTATCTGGGCTGTTGTACGTTACTAGAACTAACTGGAACCTTGCATAAACAGTGAGAACAACCCCGGTGTCTTGTCTACGAGATTGAACCTCCGCCCGGGCACGCATCATTTGAAATTCATTGTCGATGGTGAAATGCGCGCTTCAGATAACCTCCCCACGGCAGTCGATTTCACGAACCACCTTGTCAACTATATTGAAATCAGTGCTGATGATGTCAACCGGTCACGGAGGGAAAGCGATAAGGTCCCTGATGGCGTTCGACCCCCGCAGGTCATTCCTGGGCCGGTCGGGAACGATCAAGTGGGGTCCACCGTGGAGGAACAGTCAGACAGAGAGGAGCCAGAGGAGATCCCGCTTGGTGACTTCCGTGGTGTTATTCCCCAATTTCTGCTTGATCTAGACCGCGAGGAAGAAACACCAGAGTACCAGCAAGCTGTGAATATCGTTGGGGATGCGCCTACACCGCCGAGTCTTCCGCTGTTCCTCGGCAAATCAATCTTGAACGGCACCACACCCATGAAGGACGATAGCAGCGTTCTTAACTACCCTAACCACACCGTCCTAAATCATCTTGCTACTAGCAGTATCAAGAATGGTGTGCTTGCCACCAGCGTAACGACTCGCTACAAACGGAAGGTAAGTTGGCACCTCTTTGTCACGGACTCACAGAACTAATGGTATGTAGTACGTCACAACGATATTGTACAAACCGACAGGTGATATTACGGATTAGCCTGTCAACGAAATAAGATGCCCTGCACGTCCCTCATGCCTTCTATTCAGCCAGAAGGGGACTGTATTACTCTGGCTGCCGGAGCGGGGCCGAGCATCCCGCATGTCGACTGTATGCTATAACTGCGCATCGAGCTGGAGGATAAGAGACCGAGGCCCTCGCAGAACCAAGGGGGGGTTAAACAACAGATATCTCCTTTGGGTATATATATTTCGACATGCAGAGATGCACATAGCCGGAACCCAGGACCAAGCCACTTTGCATGATTTACGTCCCTATGGTTGCTCGATGTCCGACTATTTGCGGTGCAGAAAAGCGCCATTATTAGACCATTGTTGTTGTTGGTGTTCGGAACGATGCATGGCTAGCGACAAATATTTGTTAGCTAAGCCCCTGTTGTTAACCTTGCTTGCAGCTGAAATGCGCGGCTGTTTTACATAGGCGTTGCTGCTTTCGGTCAACCAGGAGTGTATGATGTACGCCTTTAAACGCTTGTTTCCACCCGTCGAAGGGACAGCTAGTCATGATCGACTTGATATTCTTGACCCCAACCTGTCATCTGAATCCGTGGCAACATTGAGTCAAATCCCGCCAATCGTTACTCGGTAACAAGAATGCGGTCAAGCGGGCTTCCATCAATACTAGCCTATGCCTCAGTTTGCCTGGAAGTACGGATGCACTCCGGGTGCCGAATCCCGTATAATCGGAGACCTTTGCTCATGACTCTATAGATTATATTCATCTCATTCATCTAAATCATCATCATCCAATGGAACAAGAAATAGAAAATCAATCCCTCCATTTGACAAAGACATCGTCCGTCCGGAAGCGCTGAGTACAAGTGGAATCCTTCAAGGGCGTTGTGCTACCGGACTTATATGCCAGTAATCCAGCCTGCGCGATCATGATGCCGTTATCAATACAGAACCTCTCGTCGGTCGCATGAATGGTACCGCCGCGGTCGCGAGCCATGATGCCCATCATTTCCTGCAGGCGCTCATTACAGCCCACTCCACCGACGATCAGAACATCCTTGGAGCCGACATGTGCCATGGCGCGCTCTGTGATCTCGACCAGCATGGAGTAAACCGTTTCCTGGAGCGAGAAGCATAGATCTGCACGCGTCGGTTTCGCGTTCTCCAGATCGTCCGATGTAGATGCATTGTTAGCAACATCCTCGTCGTCATTCCAGTCTCCGTCCAAGCCATACTGCACTGCTAGTCCATCAATGGCCGCCAAGATACCGGACATGGAAATGTCCATTCCCTTGACCGTGTACGGTAGATCGACCAGTTTCCTACCCTTCTTGGCTAATTGTTCGATGTTATATCCTGGGGCGGGATCGTTGGAAATGCGCAGCGTGCGCGCAAAGCGGTCTAAGCAGTTTCCTACTGCGATATCCAAGGTCTCGCCGAAGATGCGGTACCGTTGAGAGCTGTATGCGATGACTTGGGTATTTCCTCCGGAGACGTAGAGGACGACGGGATTTGTAGCACCGGTAATCAATCGACCCATTTCGATATCTATATATACAACCGGGACATTGTCAGCGATGGTTGCAATAGGAGGGCCAAGCTATGCAAGGGATGAGAAGGGGCAAAAGGGTTCCCCGCACGGTGCAGATAGGATAGGGGACTGATAGATAAATAAACCGATCAAGTACTAGGCATAACACATACGTCCAACACAGTGATTCACGCCAACCAATTCCTTGCCCCATAGTAGACTCAACATGCGGGCCGCAATGGCGGCGCTCTGAAGAGGGGCTCCCATGCCGGGGCCCTTGGTGAAGCAGATGCAATCCACATCCTTGGGGGAGATCCGAGCTTCACGAAGAGCCTTCTTGACCAGCTTCACGACCCAGGCGCGGTGGTGACGGGCGGTGTCCTTGGGAAGGAATCCTTCACCCGGAGGGGTGACATAGGTGTGCCGAACATTGGCCAGCACCTGCGGGGGCTTGCCATCGTCGGGATGCACCATGATGCCCACGCCCAGTTTGTTGGCGGAGCTCTCCAGACCGATGGAAATCATGATGTGCAGAGGGGGGGGGGTATCTGGGGGTATCTGGCTCAATGACGGAAAAAAGAATAAGGGACCACTACTTGAGAAGGTGTGGTTACAGGCTGGTCAAAATTTCGAGGCCGCGGACATGAGCCAGTCGCGGAGGGGCAAATTCGGTGCTGGTTCGGAAGGTTATCAGGCGTGTTATCGATTGGCCCGTTTTGGACCGCCGCAGCGTTTATCCGACTGTCATTTTGCTGGAACACCAGTTACTGTACCATACTTTCCATACGCCCGTTTGCCTGCCAACTAATTACTACTAATTAGTTACTTTACTTACTACGGAGGAGCACCGCCTGATCCCCTCAACTTCACCCCCCGTCAATCTCTCTTACTCTCTCACCCTCCCACACTCTCCCCTTTCCTTCTACCACCTGGCTGGCTATCCCAGCAGCTGCATCGTCTTCTCTTTGTTCTGCTGTGAAATTGCTCCTCTTCCCGCTCTTTTCACTCCTGAGCCGTCCTTAACACAACGGTGGTGTGGGGTGCCGAATTTCCTTTTTCTTAGGTCGAGACTATTCACACAATCTCTCCTCCATCAACCTCCCAAATGTCCTCCACCACCCATTTTCCCGACCCGGGGAACTTCCAGCACCAGTCAAATGAGTTCCTCACTTGGCTGGCTGGCAAGCCCGGCGTCAAAATCAACCCCAAGATCCAAATTGCAGATCTGCGCTCCCACGCTGCTGGCAGAGGTGTCGGTAGGTTCCCATCCCAGACGAGGTTTTATCCCGCTCGTGCCTGTCTCATGAAACCCTTTTTTTCTTGGAAGTGGCCCCCTCTCTGATGTCCTCGTGTCACTCTACCAGTGGCTCAGTCCGATCTCGACGAAGGTGAAGAGCTTTTTACCATCCCCCGCGCACACGTTCTCTCGGTTCAGAATTCCAACTTGAAGAACCTGCTCTCTCAGAATCTCGACGACCTTGGTCCTTGGTTATCTCTCATGGTTGTCATGATCTACGAGTATCTTCAAGGCGATCAGTCTGCTTGGGCTTCATACTTCCGGGTCCTTCCTCGGAATTTTGACACCCTCATGTTCTGGTCCGCCTCCGAGCTTGAGGAGCTTCAGGGCAGCGCTATTGTCGAGAAGATCGGAAAGCAGGGAGCTGAGGAATCCATTCTCGAGACAATTGCTCCTATCGTGCGAGCGAATCCTGCCCTATTTCCTCCCATCGACGGAGTCGCCTCGTACGATGGAGACGCTGGAACCCAGGCCCTCCTTCACCTCGCTCACACTATGGGATCGCTTATCATGGCCTACGCTTTTGACATCGAGAAACCGGAAGATGAAGAGGGTGAGCGTGATGGCGAAGACGGCTATTTGACCGACGAAGAAGAAGAGCAGTCGTCCAAGGGCATGGTCCCTCTGGCCGATCTGCTCAATGCGGATGCCGATCGCAACAATGTGGGTTCTATTTGATCTGTGATTCTCGCTACATGATCGCTGACAATTATTGTCTACTTAGGCTCGTCTTTTCCAAGAAGAAGAAGTTTTGGTCATGAAGGCTATCAAGCCTATAAAAGCGGGCGAGGAGATCTTCAACGACTACGGGGAGATCCCACGTTCTGACCTCCTGAGACGGTACGGTTACGTGACTGACAACTATGCCCAATACGACGTTGTCGAACTGTCATTGGACCAAATATGCCAGGCTGCTGGCCTTGGATGTGCTGATATTGAGACCCAACCTCCGGTAAATCGCTGACAATAAAACACCCTCTGATACAAACCGCTTGCTGACGCTTACGTTAGCTTCAATTCCTCGAAGACTTGGAACTTCTTGACGATGGCTATACCATTCCAAGGCCTTCTTCGCCTGAGGAACCGTTGACTGATATTCTTCCGGATGAGCTCTTGCTATTGTTGAAGACCCTATCGCTCCCGTCTGACCAGTTGGAGAAGCAGCGCTCAAAGAACAAGCCTCCCAAGCCGTCCTTTGGTGATTCAGAAGCCGCTATCTTGGCCAAGGCTCTGCAGTTGAACCAGGCCCAGTATGCGACGACCATCGCCCAGGACCAGGAGCTCCTCGCCCAGTTGTCGCAGCTTGAGGCCTCGGGTCCGGTGGAAGGATCTGTTCGTCGCAAAAAGATGGCGATTCAGGTCCGCCTCGGCGAAAAGGAGGTTTTGTACAATCTGTCCTTCATGCTCAACAACCAGTTCGGGGCCGCACTCCAGAGCAACCCTCTCAAGCGGGCAGCGAATGGCGACAGCGACGAACCGCAGAGGAATAAAGCTCTGAGGACGTGACGCTTATTCTCGAAACCGAAAAAATGTTTTATTATGATGGATAAGACCAAAAAGTTTGATTTTTCCTTTTTCATCTAATTAATATTGTTTTTTGTTATCTTCTTCGTCGCTGACCTCATAGCCTCACTATCCGTACACGAGTCTATCGACTGCTCGGCTGAAAGAAAAGAAAAAAGAGGACAAAACTGGCTATGTACACTAACTTTCGCATAATACCAGGGTCATGTCATAAAACAAAGCATCATCCGGCAACATCATCCTGAGGTTCGAACGCTTTCCAGCGCTCCGGGAAAGAAAAAAAAGAATATTCGGGGTATGGGGTAAAAAATCAGGACGTCCAGGGGGTAAAAGTACAGGTGAGGGTAAGAGAATATGTCGAAAGAACAACGCCGGCCAGATGCGAAACATGGGGTGAAAGATTAAAAACATAAGCGGAAGGGAAGAGAGAGGGGAGAAGAACAAAGCCCAGCTTAGGTCTCTGAAGTGGAGGCAATGGCGCCAGGCCCGGGATTGGATCCCATGGTTTGCCCTCCACTTGTTGGATTGGTCGCCGACGTCTGCTCGGCCTGCAATCGCCGTTGAGCCTGAGCCTGAGCCTGAGCTTGTTGAGCCTGCGCCTGCGCATGGGCTTGAGCTGCCGCCGCTGCTTGGTCTCGGGCTTTGGCTGCCATGATCGCCCGATGCTGCATGATCTGGATATCGTACTGATCTCCTTCAAATTCGAGATCCTCGTCCGAGTCCTCCTGATCATACTTGAACCGATCGGCCTTCCACGGATCCATTTCGACTCTACAACGGGACACCAGATTTCGACGATCGATCCACAGACGACCGCCACGCCCGATACGTCGTCTGAATGAGGGCATCTTGCTGGTGTCCACACTCAATTCCATGGCATGTGGAGCTAATTTATCTCGGAGAGCAATGGCACTCGTGGTATCTAAGGGCGAATCCAGCATATTATCGGACGATTCCGATGATGGTGGCGTGGGCAGTTGAGTGGTGATTGCAGGGCGGAAAGAAGCAGCATCGAATGTTCGCTCTGGCGACGGGGAGAGAGGTGCTCTTGTGAAATCCACATAGCCCTCGTTCCACTTGATGTGCTTGGCGATATTCTGCTTGATATCGCGCTGAATCTCGTTCTCCTTCTCTGCCTGAACATCCTCCAACAGCTGTAAGTCTTCTGCAGCTTGTGTACCAGCCTTGGGGGGCATGCGCAGTTGAGGCGCGGCCGGGCGTTGCACAGCTGGTGCTTCTACTGGCTTCTTCTTCGGCTGTTGCAGTCATCAGCATGTGAAGCAAACGGTCGCGGGATTGCATAGGGCTCACCTTCTGGTTGATGAGGTCCTCATCATCGTCCTTGATGTTGAGCTTCCTCTTCATTTCCTTGACCTCCGATCTCTGCAAGAACACTTGGCGTTCGATGGCCAGCATCTCCTTCCTCGCTAGCTCGCGTTGGCGCACCAAAGCGACCATCTGTCGAGCATCTTCCAGCTCCTTCCTGAGTCTCCTCAGCTTATCGGCACTCTGCGCATCCCTGCCACGGGTCTTGCGCGTCTGCCGCACCTCACGCCTACGGAAGCAGACATACGGGTCTGTATCATCGGTGTCTCGACCAGCCTCAACCTGCGGTAATCGGTTAGCACTCCGACATTGCCAAACCTCATGACTGCAGTTAGCGAGGGGACTCACCTTCGGTGTAGGAAGTAGGGGTTCGTTCCCGTTGCTGGTTCTCCTGGACTTCCAGTATTCATAGATGTCCTTGGCGAACCGCTTTACACTCTCCTCTACAGCTGGATCCATCGCCTGTTGAAATTCTTCGAAGCTCATGAGGGGCGAATTATCTACAAAAGCATATGGCTGCTCCTTTCGCGAAGTGAGCTCGAAGAAGCTCATAACTTCTTCGAACTGGTCCTCGGTGCACCGACTACCCGCATCGCGTTTTTGGTTGAAGATCTTGAGGAAGACATCGTCTTCCTCATCCATGCAATACGGGGCTCCGCAACAGTCCTCTACCGTAGCAGAGAAGCGAATGTAGGTCGCAGGTTGCGAAAAGATAGGCGGGTAGAGCTCATCATAGCGCAGGTTACTGAGGACCGTTTCCGGCGTCGGAATATGGGCATCTTTTACTTTTCCCTGCGCAGCCGCATTTATGGCGACCTGAAGATGGAATTCCTATACAAGAACAGGCATTAGCAGGCGCTGTTGCGGCGTTTCTGCCGGGGTGCGAAATTTTCACGATGGGGTGAGGTCGGGATGATGTCACGTGATATGCAAAGGGATGCTCGCAACGGTCGGGGATGAGGCATCACTTACCGATTCCTCAGCCTTTTCCACGCCGGTCTCGATCTGTTGTAGGGCATTTTGGATTTCATCGTCGATAAGATCTATGTCGTGCTCCCGAACTATGGGGATGGAGGCCTTGGAGGTGAGCTTTTTCGGGCGCGTCCTCCCCATTCCCCCGTACCTAGTCATACGAACTTTGGGGCGCGGAAAAGGGCAACGACCATGGGCGAGGGGGGCTAAAATTGGTATCAGGCGATAGGGCCGATCATGCGAAAGCGCGTAGATGTAGTTTCGTGATGAACGTCGATGGTGATGGGATGATATCGACGAGGGAAATCTCGTAGTATTGGCACTGGCGGATGAGTTGACGTTGCAATGTCACCCGGCGGTGGCCTGTTTTGGCCCGGCGCACGGCCTCAGGGGTTCGCTTGCCTGTCCGTTTCCGGTTAGTGCGGGGCTGCCCGATATCAAATTGCCGGCTGGGGGAACCTCGTTGCTTGCAGTGATATCAATCTATTGTTCCGTCGTGATTATTCCCCAGAGTTCACTGTGAATTAGTGTGGAAGAGCTTCCTCTCCTCTAAGCCCTTCTCTTCTCCACTTAGTCTGTGGTTCTTGCCGTTGCCGTTCTGCCTCTCCCAACGGCATCCTCCTCTCCGTCTCCCTCTCCTTCCCTGTGATCGCCACATTCCGGTCCCCATCATGGATCATTCCAGCGAACCCAACAACGCGGCCCTTTACGATGCGCGGAGACGCAGGGGCTCCGTCGGAACTTCTCAGCTCTTCGACAACATTGTGTCCGCCTCCAACTGTGGGTAGCGGTCGCGTTTAGTAACAATATCAATCGGGGTGTCCGGGCTTGCTGACTACATCATCGGAATCTGGCAGTCGATCGCGATGAAGTGGACCGTCTCCGCAAGCGCTTTATGAAGCTTGATAAGGTACTCCCCCATTCTCCACGTTATCCTCCCTCCCATATCTAGAGCTAACCATAATGTGAATGCATACAGGACAGCTCCGGCACCATCGACCGCGATGAATTCCTCTCCCTTCCTCAAGTCTCCTCCAACCCGCTCGCCACGAGGTACTTTCCCCCATACTACCTCCCAACAACAATTACACCCAAATACAAAGGACGGAATAATAACCAAATAAAATGAAATGAACAGAATGATTGCCATTTTCGACGAAGACGGCGGCGGCGATGTCGACTTCCAAGAATTCGTCTCCGGGTTATCAGCCTTCAGTTCCAAGGGCAACAAAGAAGAGAAGCTGCGCTTCGCATTCAAAGTGTACGATATCGATCGCGACGGGTTTATCTCCAATGGCGAATTGTTCATCGTGCTGAAGATGATGGTCGGCAATAACTTGAAGGATGTGCAGTTGCAGCAGATTGTCGACAAGACGATCATGGAGGCCGATAAGGATGGTGATGGCAAGATTAGCTTCGAGGAGTTTACGGATATGGTCGAGAACACGGATGTTAGTTTGAGTATGACGTTGAGTATGTTCCCTGATACACCACTTCTACACTTTTGGGGGCTGATGGGTTGCTGACTGTTTTGTAGACCAGATCTGAGGTGGAGTTTGTGAGGTGTGGATGAGGTTATCTACTTGCTGGGAATGTAGATATGTTGGATGGATTTGGGCAGTGAGGAGGGTATAATTTTCTATTTTCTTATGATTATGATGATAGCCATGACGAAACTGTAGTTTACTTTCCTTTTTCTTTTGCTTCAGGGTCCGATTTGCTACTAGTTTATATTGCTTGTTAGGTACATATGTGTACGGATTACTATGCCTGCTGTGCATGTAGTTGTAGATGGTGGGAGTTATGAAGCGTTCAAAGATCAACGATTAGCTGAAAGTCGTTGCGTTCAGCAGCAGCACCAGCAACAGTAGTAGACATTCACAGATGATAGGAATCCTTTTATTAAGATATAGGGTTATATGCGATCCTATAAATGTTGGGATAAACTTCAGCCTCACAAACTTAAGACTTGCCGCTCACGACACCATCATGATGATTGTTTACATGATAATATCATATAAACTGAGTATTATATAACTCAGGCGTAAACTAGTACAACAATCTGAATATTAGCGTCTCCTCAGGCCGAGTGATACTCCACAATACTTGGGGAACTACCAGATGACTGTTTAGAAGGACCTTTAAATTTGTGACTGGTTGATCTGATTGGTTCATATATTTAGCACATCGCTACTACTCCGCATCGCTACAGTCTACACTCTATATCATTGATTTCTTCTCATCATAATAATAAATATCTGGCTTACCAGCAAGAACAGAAATAGATAGCATGATCATATGTCTCGAGACAAAGTTCACAAGCAGGCCATGCGCATCCGCCTTTCTAGAAAGAAGATGATAATCGGATCATGAACTTGGAAATGCCGGCTGTAAATGGCCAAAAGTATTGCCAAGACGTGCATAAAACGCTTAGCGAACCTTCCAATTCCGCCGCAATAAGGATGCCGAGCGTCTGGATCGCATTCGGTTGATCCTCCAGATTGAGACGGTATTATAAAGTGGATCGTTATATATACCCTTCAGGGATATCTTATTCTGACCGTTTGATGATTGAGCAGTCTAAGCTGCTGCTTTCCTTACCGTGAGCACATCTTAAGAGCCAACAAGTCGAGGCGAGCATATGAAGTAGTACTGGTAGGATGGACCCCTAGTGAGAACGCAATTAGGCATCTTGGTTGAACTGTAATACTAACACAGCTCACCAGCCCCTCAATCGTTGAGGAAAGGGTGCTCCATCAACTCCCGAGCCGTCTTTCGTTCCTCAGGCAACCATGTGAGCATCTGTTTGATGAAAGATAGGAAAGCTTCCCTGTCGCTCGTTTCTGGAGATGGGACTGCATCTTCCAGTTTCCGGGCGGGTACTAAATCGTTGTAGAGGAAGTTGCCTGCCGTAATATGAATTAGGGTCGGAGGATACATGCATAATGCCGGGAAAAGGGGAATGGGTGTCAATACCATCTTTATCAAAGAAAGGCCCACCAAAGTATTCCCTATTATTCTTGTAGACTTTACCCCTTTCATCTGTGATAGCTGGAGACCACTCAACCTGTGCCATGGATTCTGACATCACAAGCAATTTCTTAGGCGAGGGCCCAAGCAGGGCTATCATCCGCGCTAGATGTGATCTGGGAAGGTAGTTTCCCTCCGTATCTTGTACTTGGGTGTACAACTCTGTGCCTTCAAGTATATCCCATATCTGTTGTTGCAGAATGTGAGTACTATTCGACTATCACGTACGTTTCGAATGCAGGTATATCTTACCATAACTCCCAGATTCCATATATCTGCGCTGTAGCTCCAACCACAGCCGAGAACGACTTCAGGTGCGCGATAATAATCAGGTTGTATAGGACGAGTACCTAGTTTGACGGCGCCATCATCTCCACCGTTGCCGAGTAGAGCAGCGGCGCTGAAATCCGTTATTTGAGGGTATATGTTGCCTAGTCCACTCGGGTCAAGAGGTCCGAAGTTGTTGTGACAGCGGTAGATGACGCGGCCGGTTTCCGGATCTGTCTTGCATTGCATCGACTGAGCTTCTTCTTGTTCCTTGATGAATCTCGGGAGGATATCATCATTTTCGAAGGGTATGAGGATGTTGTCGAGTTTCAGGTCTGACAACAATGGATTAGGTTAATGACTTTTGGGTATCAGGTGGACAGACTTGCCAGTATGGACAACCCTGCACACTGAATGTAAGTAGTCGAGACCAGCCAAAATGATAAGAATATACGCTTTAACCATCGGCAGGGTGAACCTGTCGCCTTCAAACCGTCTTTGGTATAACCAGAGGGGCTCCCGTGCTGGCTCGTAGGCTAGACAGAGATGTTTGCCGATGGGACCTGCCAATTCAAAGCTTTCAAGGTAACTGCGGATAACCGGACGACCGCGGTGTGAGGGAGTCTGCTGAGCGATGTGTTCTTCAATACGACGCTCATGGTAGGCGCCCCTGGGATTGTCGTTGTTGAGGATTTTGAGGGCTACAATGCGCTCAGCCTGCCATCGATATCTAACCGAATGGTTCGAATAGAGGTTAGAAGTGCGAACCGTGGCCGTAGTTACATATGAAAGTCAAAACATGCCTTGCGACATCTCGGGCAAGCCACACAGTTGAACCGCCCCCCCATCCGATCTTAACCAGCAATTGATAATGATCAGCAAGAACCTCCCCGGGCTTCGCAGGGTAAAAGTGTTTGGGACTGTAGCCAGGACTGAGCTCCTCGTTCACAAGTTCGTGTTGGGGAATGGATGGTGTAGTAGATAGTGAACGCGAGAGCTGTAGAGGTTTGGCGCGAAGAAAGGATATACGCTTCATTGCACGACTTAAGGACTGCAACTCATAGAAACAGAAGCACCTTATGGCCAATATTTTGTGCAGATTCAGCAGCAAAGAAGAGATGAGCCGGGTTATTGGAAATAGAGAACCAACGAGCATGAATCATGCAATGGGGTAGGTAGATATTATACCTGGTGTCGGGCGCGAAGACCGAAGATCCTTGGCAGGCGTTAAAGGGATGTGTAAGGCGCCAAGCAGCCAAAACAACCCTACTACTCTACCACCTTCAGAACATAACTTACTCACGCTAACGATTCGCAGCTCTAAATGCCATATATCTCCTTTCTGAGTAAAAGATATACATAAACACACATATGGATTTGTGTATGGCTGGGAAACAGTAACCCAATGACAGTTTATTTGGTCGGGCGCGGATACATCATGATGCTGTAGTTATTCCTGTCACCACACTCATTACTAGATTAAAACACAGCAATCTTTGCCATTATTTTTAGAAGATAGAACCCAAAGAATAATCAAGTAAGTAGATAGATTCAACTCATTCCTCTGGCTACTATTAGACTACATGTTCTCATCTTCACAAGCGGTCACATGAGCGTGTTCATCCCCCTTCGGTCCCGACTATCTCACCCGTAACCCTAATCCAACCATCTCTTCATCCACCTCAAGCATCATGTCGCTGCACCCCATGACAACCCCGCGTGAAACCCCCCGCGTTGAACTGCACCCGATTATTATCAAAGCACCGAGGACCCGTCAAGATAGGCGTATTAAAACTAGCCACCCACTCATTCCCATCAGAGTCCGGCTCATCCAAATACTTAAAGTCCCACCCCGTAAGTCCCAGTCCCACGCAGCTTGTAATAGCCGGCTTGAGCGTATCCTGGCCCGCATCCCAAGTCGCCCATCCCCTCCCTCTCATATTATATTTTTGGAAAAACCTCTTAAAACTACTATCGCAAAACCCTCCAACTTCCTTCGTCGGCGGCCAAGGTCTCTTGAACGAGTTCTGAACGTTAACTTCGTAAGTATAGCTCCCGCGAGTCCAGCGACCCCCGAATTTCCAATTCAGCGGGTTCTCCGGTTCGTTGCCGTCGCAGGAGTTGATGATACGTTCGAAGGACTCGATGCAGTGTTCGTAGTCGAACTGAGTGGCACCATCGCTGAGTTGGATGCTGAAGTAGTGCGTTTCTGGGGTGAGTTGGTTGAACCAGCGCTCGTCTTTCCAGTTTGCTGTTTTCTTGGGAGGCTTTACTTCCTTGCAGTAGGTCTTGTAGTTTTTGTTTAGGAGGTCCGCGCTTGCGTAGTCTTTCCGGCCGTCTTGTTGCCAGCATCGGAATTCGTCGAAACTGTGCTGGCAGATGGGGTTCTTCCTGCCGAGGAAATCAGCCCGTGAGGCAAATATGCCGTCAAGCACGAAGGAGGCAATGGTCTTGTGGCCGAGCTCGTTTGGGTGGAAGTACTTGCCCCAGCGGTCGGGGAGCCCGAATCCTACACCCCCGTCACCCGGGCAGCCTGGGGGTTTGGGGTCGCGGGGGTTCAGCTTGTGGAGGGCAGCTGCCGGGGGGTTGGGCGAGCGGAAGAGGACGGAGTTGTAGAATGAGGAAAGAGGGTCGTCGGTAGAGGAGGAGGAGGTGGATGTGTCGGTGATGTTGTCGCGCTTCGCTTTCAGTTCCGTGTGGCGTTCAATGGAGGTGTCGGGCTTGAAGAAGTGCAAGTTGGGCTGCATGAGATCGGGATATTTTCCTGTTGATTCAGGGGCGCAGAAATGTCCTTTGAGGCCGTCTTTCATGAAGGCATCCCAATCGGCGGTACGGATATGCACTCTTGGGAAGTACTTTCCTTTTTCCAAGACGAAATCATCGATGGCTTGCTTTATGACCTTGTTGGTGTCGACAACCAGTTGATTGAATTGCTGGCGACGCTCGCGGGTCAAAGGTAATGCATTGAATGGAGCCAGACCAGGGAAGGCCCAGTCCTGGTTCTTCTCGCAGTCATCGGTCTCCGTGTTGAAGAACTGGCCGTAGAGGGCATAGATAATGATGCCAAACTGATTCACCTTGCCCACAGCGACCTCAAGGACTTCGCGAACGTTGGACTTGAGGATCTGCTTGATGTTATATTGAGCCAACTCAATGACCTTCTGGCACTTTTCTTCGTTGTTGAAAGGGAGAAAGATGCAGGTGGTGATAATATCGGACTGTGCAGTCTGTCAGCTAGGGTTCATTATAGTGAGATGAATGAAGAAGGAGAGGCTAACATACCAAGCACAAGTCGTTTCCTCCACCAGTCATGACTATGAGGTCGTGGAATTTATCAAGCTCCCGGGCCTGGTTGTAGATGTCGCCAGTGCGAGCGCCACTGCATGCTTTGTACGAGAATTTTTCCACCTGTGGACCCAACAAATGCTTCAGGAGGGCTACATACGACTTGTCATAGCGGGAACATTTGTAGTCCTCTTTTCTGTCAGACCACAGATCACCGGCGCCAATACCTGCTGTGTAGCTGTCGCCAATGGCGGCCCATGTGCGGATGAAGGTGAGGTCTGTGATGGGGAGATGAGTTTCGGGGGGATTATCTTGAGGAGCATCAATGTCGGGAGTGCCAGTGACAAGAATCACCAGCAGGAATATGAACCAAATCATCCTAGGACGGGATGTCTTTGAAGATGAGCTGGCGTATGGGATGGAAGAGACCAGGGAGATAGGGGAAAAAAAAAAGCTGTAGAAGAGGAGAATACCGAGTTTATATCGAGGGAGCATGAGGCGGTAAGCAGCCCTAACACCTCAAATTATCCAGGCGTATTCACGGATTCACGAGCACGATCCTCCATCACAAATATCCATGAAAAATTCTTCTCTGTTCGCGTGAAGTTCAGTTTCAAGTGAAAGCCAGGCAAAATATGAACTACACGTGAACGCACCATGGCCCTAACCCGGGTTAATCACTGTTCCTTTTCCTTCTTAAAAAGATAGTCATCGATTTAACATCCCATCTTCGAAGATTCTCCTTACCAACATTGTCAAACTACCGTTGTCAACATGTCAGTCATTTCGGCATTTCTGCTCTGCCTGTTCGGTTGGCAACTGACTTCCAGCGCTGTCTTCGCGCACAATCTCGCTTGGGGAGCTCTTCCGTCCAATCTCGACCCTGTCTATCCTTTCCAATTTCTTTCTACTTCCTTTGCTAGTGATGATGGGTACACCTGTGCCAAAGATAAGGGATGTAAGATAGGATGCTGCGGACCCATGTGAGACACCTGTCATGTATACTTTGTGTTCGATATATGAGTAACTGACCACTGAAATAGTGACTCCACTGGCTCGGGTTATTGTGGTTTTGGTCCCGAGTTCTGCGGGAAAAATTGCACCTCGAACTGCGATCGCAAGAGCGAGTGTGACCCTGGCTGGGGGAAAGAATGGTCTCAAGCATCCACTTGTCCGCTAAATGTTTGTTGTAGCAAGTTCGGCTTCTGCGGTGGGTTCTTACCTTCGTTTAATTCCTATCCCAATCTCCTCTAACAACTCTGCTACAGGAACCACCAAGGACTTCTGTGGCGATGCCACCGTCGTGTCTCCCCAATGCAGCGGCACCAGTGCCAAAGGGCGGACAGTCGGATACTACGAAGGGTGGAATTTGGAACGTCCATGTGGAAGTGAGTTGCTTGATACCACTCCTTCGAGTCATCAGACTAACACAACTTCATACAGAAATGGGTCCACCTGATATCCCCCTCGGCTACTATACACACATCAACTACGCGTTCGCTTCCATCGACCCTCAGACATTCCGCATCGCTCCCATGGACAATCTCACAGCGTCATTGTACCAAGGCGTAACAGCACTCAAGCGCCAACAGAGTCATCTCGAGGTGTGGATTGCCATTGGGGGATGGGCATTCAATGACCCGGGTCCGACCCGAACCACTTTCTCTGACCTGGCCGCTTCCGAGGCTGCTCAGGATACATTCTTCGGATCCTTGATTAGCTTTATGCAGAAGAATCGGTTTGATGGTGTAGATATTGACTGGGAATACCCTGTGACCGACGAACGGGGTGGGAGACCCGAGGATTATGTCAATTTTGTGACTTTGGTGAAAAGACTCAGAGAACAGTTGAATCAGACGGGGAGAAAGTATGGGATCTCCATCACTTTGGTAAGATTGGCTCTCCTGCCGATATGCATGAGGTTGTTAACATCCCTGCAGCCGACATCATACTGGTACCTGAGAGGATTCGACATTGTCAATCTCGAGCCGCATGTCGATTTCCTTAACGTCATGTCTTATGATATTCGTAAGTGAGCTGCGGTTTCGGAGTTGCTTCATCCTCGCTAACTGATCTGCAGACGGCACTTGGGACTCTACGAACAAGCAGCTCGGACCGTACGCCTTCGCACATACCAATCTAACGGAGATTAACAGCGCTCTAGAACTTCTCTGGCGCAATAACATCAATCCAGAGAGAGTTAACCTTGGACTAGGTTTCTACGGTCGCAGTTTCACAATGAAGAATCCCGGGTGCAAGAAGCCTGGCTGTGAGTTCTCTGGAGGGGCACGGGCAGGTGAATGTACCGGCACACCGGGCGTGTTGGCTACGTATGAGGTCAACAAGATCATTCAGAAGGGCGGGACCGAGATGACCCTGGACAAAGACGCAGCAGTTACCATCGTAACCTGGGACAAGGATCAATGGGTTTCCATTGATAACCAAGAGACACTACGGATGAAGATGGACTATGCCAATAAGCGGTGCCTTGGGGGAACTATGGTCTGGGCAATAGATCTGGATGATGGTACCATGATTGACGCTCTAGGGGGGGCTATGGGAAAGAACAAATCACGAATCTACCCTGCTCGGCGGAACCCTATTCCTGAATCCGGGACTGATGATGTTGATGATATTCTGGGATGGAAGAAGTGGAGGAAGGAGCATAGGGACGAACTCCGAAGGACGGCTAGAATTTGATGGGATTGTGCATGTAAGGCATGGATCCCCAGAATGCTAGGGAGTGATTGTGACTGTTTAGTTTAGATGTGTCACTACCAAGCTTGCACAAGTTCAATTAAATTAATATCACAAAAATAATCTCAAATAATATTATGAGCCTGTAGAAGCAGTGGAAGGAGCACACAGGAATGAACTGTGAATAAGAGGGTGGGAAGAATATGAAAATTTGCAGGTTAGACGTGAATTTTCAGGATACTGGGAATGATTAACACTGCTCAGCCTACAAGTACTACTAGCAAGTTCAAAAAATCTCAAATTATTTAACGCTTCTAGATAGTATTCGAACTATGTGCTACATCAGGGGTTTACAAATATCCATGCACGTGCATGTGTCGTGAATTTCTGTAGTGAACCAACGGCCTGCTTTCCAGTGAAAGAGAGAGGAGGCGAAATTCTGAGTAAGTCTTTTGCATTTATGCTCTATTATAATGATCTTCTTCTGTACCTTCTATCTTGCAATTACGCCCCATCATCTCCATCCTCCATTCCGATCCTTGTTCTGCACATTTACCTCTCAAGTCCATCATTGGAGAACGATTTGAACGCCATGATACTCCTCAAGATGTGGGCGATTCTCCTTCCAATTCTCCTTCTCCAGCTGCTTAACACCCCCACGGTTTATGCTGGCCATCCTGAGTGGGAGCATGCTCGATTTATGCTCCCCAATTGGGTCTCAGTCAAGCCAGTAGAGCCCTGGTCCCGCCTCTGGCCCGACAAGACCATCAAGCTGTGCTACGAAAGCGAGGCAACCTGGAGGAAATATCATAATTACTACCGCAGTGCGATGAGATTATGGTATGCGTCTGGGCTGCCTGAAGAGTTCAAAGTGAGGGAGGTTGGCCGAGATGCATGCCAGAACACGCCACATGAACAGTTGATGGTCATCGACACCCCCGAACTGTTCGCCACGGACATTGGCTTCCCCTCTAACGACTATCTAAACCCGTCCAATCATCCGAGTCCTAATAAGCCTGCAATGTATGTATGCTTGTATCACAGGGATACAGAGGAGTTCCGGGTCACTACTTTTGCTCATGAGCTCGCACATTCATTTGGGATGTATCACGAGCACCAGAACCCTTATTATTGGTTGTATGGGAGCCAAGTGTTCACCTTTCACTGCAACCAAATGAAGGATTTTGAAGAATTGACCAATGGAATGTCACAGGACCGGATCTGGGGAGCTGATGGCGTCTGCAGGAGCTTTACGCAGGCCCGAAACATCGGGTTTCCAAGTATCGATTGGCTTCCTGTGCCGTTTGATGAGATCATGTCTCCCCATGGGTCTTGGGCGAACAAAGCCAGCGTTGATTTCGACTCTATCATGCTTTACGGTTCTCACAATGGTGGGGAGACTGAATTTTCTGTGACTCTTTCCTTGGCGGATGGGACACTCTTTGATGAGCCAGAAACTCCCAGTGTTGACGATGTAATGGGCTTAAAGCTTCTCTATAACACTGTGTATGGGACACCAGTGAGGATCCTGTTCAACGATCCCAGAAGCCCTAACTATTCGACATTCAGAACATACGCCGGCTGTTTTACCTAGAAGCCACTTTTGCTAAGAGGGTGGTAAGCCTGCTGATGGAGTGAGGGTCAGAGAGGGAGAGTGTGGCTTTACTTGTTCTTTCACTGTTGGGGGAAAGGCATTTGGACAAATTTGTATGGCGTAGTTAGAATGAGTGAATGTGGGAAATGACAAAACCGAGTTGTAGTTAATTGAATCATTACCTGCCACCCAGTGACTCTTGCTCAATCCCTCCCACTTCACTTTAACCATTTCACTCCTGCTTACAATTTTCTCTGCAAAGCTCCCATAAATTCCACTACTTTGATTTTCCGCTCCCTCTCATTTTCTTCTTCCTCACCACCTTCCTTGTTCCTCTCCTACAGTCCCTACAGATTCTCTCAATACAACACCGACCAGGAACTATCCACCAAAATGGGTACTCTTCCTACATGGCTTTCTGCCCTGCTGCTACTGCTATGGACTGCAGCTGCTCAATCCCCTGCTATCGATGTCGCTGGCACTATAGCGGATCCCAATCCCCATGGCCCAACCATGTCAGGAACCCCATCCGATTGCAACCGATGGTTCACCATCAAAAAGGGCGATACCTGCTATGAGTTGGAAAAGGCGTTTGGACTTACCCCCCAGCAATTCCAGCAGTGGAACCCTGCGGTCTCCCATGATTGTCTGGTCAACTTCTGGCCGGGCTACGCCTACTGCGTGGGAATTGGTCCAGTAGCAATCCCAACATCTGCAGACACTGCTCCTCATGCCCCAACCATGACTGGCATTGCAGCAAACTGTAACCGGTGGTACACTGCCCAAAAGGGAGATAATTGTTATGCAGTAGAGAAAGCATTCGGGCTCACTCCGCAGCAGTTTCAGCAGTGGAATCCCGCTGTTTCTTTGGACTGTCTGGTCAACTTCTGGGCCGGATATGCTTATTGCGTGGGTGTTGGGCCGGCCGCAAATGGTCCGCATGGTCCTACTATGCCAGGCATTGCCCCAAATTGCATCCAGTTTTATACTGCCAAAAAGGGTGATACTTGCTATGCGGTCGAGAAGGCTTTTGGTATCAGCCCCCAACAATTTCAACAGTGGAATCCGGCTGTCTCTCTAGACTGCTTGGTCAATTTCTGGCCAGATTATGCGTACTGTGTGGGCGTTGGACCGGTTGCTCCGACTTTGACATCGACTGTGACAGCGACAGCGACTTCAGCTTCGACTTCAACAACTTTAACCACTTCAACTACGTCCACCACTTCGACAACTGCCCTTCCCACATCTACCACCTCTACTGCTTGGACTACTGGCACGTCGACCACTTCGACTAGTTTGGCACCTACGACAGTTTTCACTACTTTCACCACCACTCTCACTTTGACCACAACCTTGACTTCGAATGGTCAGACTACTGTAATAGTTACTACTACTGTGACTACGACCGTTAGCCCGTCTACAACTATTGGTACTTTCACTACATCGACGACGGCCCTGCCTCCATCGACAACGTCTAGTTCCACCACTTCGACTTCGAGTGCTTCGACCACTGTGACTTCAAGTACTTCCGACACTTCAACTACGTTGACCAGTCCAAGCGCTCCCACCACTCCCAGGACTGTAACCTCAACAACCCCCCGTTCGCCCTCTATCACACCTACTCCTAGCACAATGGTCACTACCAACCCGAATTACTCAACCCGTAATCCCATCACCTCATACAACCAGACCATAACGCCCATTGACACCGCATGGCCTCCGACCAAAACCCACCCCGGCCAGCCCAAAAATTGCGACAAATGGCATCTAGTTGCGCCAGGAGACACCTGCAGATCAATTTACCAGCGCCACGGCAACAGAATTACCATGGACGAGCTGTGAGTACCCATCCTTCCTACCCGAGTCAGCCCTATCTAACATGCAAAATCCCAGACTGGAATGGAACCCCGACCTTAAAGCAGACTGCGACTACCCCATCGCCGGCTACTGGGTGTGCGTGGGTATCAAACGCCCCGCTCTCACCATAATCTATCCCACCACCAATGGCACAGCCCCCGATCCCACTCCCTGGACGCCGCGTCCCCTTCCAACGGAGACAGCCGTTTACCCACCCACCAAAACCCAACCTGGTCTCGCTCCAAGCTGCTCAGCCTACTACGAAGCTCAGCCTGTAAGTCCTATTTACCACACACATACATACATACCTACATTACTGACGAACCCAGTCCGACACCTGCGATCAGATCCTGGCCAGCAATCCCATGCTGAAATTCCCCCTCCTGTTTGAATGGAACCCAGCCCTAAAAGCAGACTGTTCCGGTATCCTACCAGGCTACTTCTACTGCATCGCAGCCTACAACAGCACCAACCTCCCCTCCCCACCCACCGTCACTAACCAACCCTATCCAATGAAGGCAGGCACAGCCAAGAACTGCACAGCCTGGTACAAGAAGGAAGATGGTGACACGTGCGATTTGATCGTGGAGATGTTCGGCACGTTCGATAAGGCCCAGTTTGTGGCGTGGAATCCTGCTGTCGGTGTTAAATGCATTGGTTTGGAGGTACGTATTTTTCCCTTTCCCCAATATCATCCTTTTTTTTTTTTTTTAATTTACTTAATTCACGATCTAACTCAACTCGCGATATGATATAGAACGGCTACTACTACTGCATCGCCGACCCCAGCACTCCCAAAACCCGCACAAGACCCGTATCCACCACCGTGACCTTCCCCACCGCTCATCCGCGCCAACCGGGCGTCACTAAGGACTGTAATAAGTGGTGGCTTGTGTCGGTGTGAGTAACCCTCTACCTATACCCTCTTATCCTCAATATCAAATCACGCTATGACGAAACTAATATAATGATAATAGTCACGACGACTGCTACGACATCATCCACTTCAACGGCATCACTATGGCAGATCTGTATACCTGGAATCCGGCCCTCTCGGGAAAAAGAAACTGTCTTGAGGGGTTGGTTCCTGATATGGAGATTTGTGTGGGGGTTTCGTCTATGTCTACTACCACTGCTTCGAGTACTGTTCCTGGTACTTCTGTTAGCACTGGAATGGTTACTATTGTGGGGGGAAGAATTTAATGGTAGTAGTTGTTGGGTAAGGAGGGAGTGAATGTTTATGTGGAGGATGGATAATTTTGTTGATACATCATCGGTAATAACGTAATCTTGATATGTTGCTTTGAAATAATACAGTGTTTGTATGATCGTCGCTACGAATCGTTCATTTATTATAGTAAGTAATATCTAATTACTGCTCTGCAGCATTGGTGGATCTGAAATTGTATATACATCCCTGCCATCTTCCTCATAACTCATAGCAGGTAGCCTGTGCAGCATGCCGTCTATCTATATACATATTTCTACACCAAATAAAATCACCAATAAGTCGTCAGAATCTCTCTTCCGGGTCGACCGTGCAGCAAATCCTCCCGAGTGTGCATCACAGTCCGCGCCTGCCGATCATGAACCAGGAAGACCTGTAGCCAAGTTACCCGGTGGTTCTCACATATCCACTTTCTATGAGCGCAAGCGAATTCAGGACTGGTCAAACATTCTTCTTCAATTTCCATCACTCGCTCCGCAATCTTCAGGGCTGCCATGCCCTCGCAGATGCCTTCGCGCCGCGGGTACTGTCTGAGTAGACGGATCGCCTGCCGCCTGATCGTGGGTTCGCGACAGCGGAGTGCAATCAGGAATAATGGCTCCGTCGTGATCGTCTCTAGGCGGAAGCTCATTCTTTGTGGCCGATCTATATTCCCAGGCTGGCTGTCTAAGGAATTCATGGGGTCTTCTAGAATGTAGCCCATCAACTCGAGCATATATGCGTAGTCCTCGACGAAGTCGTCGTGAGCTAGTTCGCCTTTTGTCAGGTCCATAGACAGAGCCACTTGTGCGAGTCTACGCCGGGCGTAGAGAAGTTTCAAAGCCTTCCCATCTTCTGGATGTGGTGTCGTTTCAAGATATTTGTCGAGCCTGGCATCCCATTCAGTAAGATCAATAAGGCACTGCTGTTTCTTGATCTGAATCCCAGCATCCGGACCATTGATGTATATGGAATTGCTTGTGAAGATCTGCATCATGCTGTTAAAATGCACCTCCAAAGCAACACACGCTTCCAGCAAAGTCTTGAAGGGGATGGTAGACGACGACAAAATAATCTGCTTGTCTGTCCAGTGAAGGCTATTCGAAAGGCTAGGAAGGTAGGGGCGCGCTTGCGAGTCCAGTTGGGTGAACAAGACAAGCAACACATCCAGATCTAAATCCTCATCTCTCTGGCTTTTGCCTCGGTCCGCGAAATTCCACTGATAAATTAGTTTCAGTCCGCTGTTGATGTGCACGAAAGCCTGCCACTGGCGGCCCTGCAAGCTCGCCATGGTAATGAATAAGATACAAACACTAAGGATGACCAGTCTGTCAAATTTGGTCAAAACCCGTTCTGACAGCAGTTCTTGTAGTCTTTGAATGGACTTGTTCCACTGTTGCAACGCAAGCCTCACCTGGAGGCTATCCTGCGACCGTGAGACGGTAATAGGTGTGGTGTTGGTCATGAAGTCTCGGTGAATGCAGGCCACCGCGGTCATGGCATGCCACAGAACTGGGTACTGATGCGACATTTGGAGCAATCTGCGAGCCCAGCGGCCCTGGTCGAAGAAGCCAGCCAAATTGGGCGTAGTGACTGAGTGAAAGAACCGAAAACTCTCAGTTTCTACACGGTCGCCTGACACTAGCTCCCAATAGGAAGGCATTTGAATCAGACCGAGGGCCGGGGTGGGCGGCTTTTGGGGGATCAAATTGTAGCCATCGCATCTTCTTCCGGTGGAAGAGCATCGCTGGCAACTACCGAGCTATAACCGTCAGCAGCCCGGACTATAATAGTATCTTTGCTATAATCAGTCATGGAAGAGTACTAACGCGGGTTTTGTCTCGTCACATTTCACTCTCCGGATTCTGCCTGCGTCAACGACTCCATGTTCCAGCGGCAGAGTTATGAAGCCTACCGGCATGTCATACAACCAGTCTTCACTTTGGGGGCCCAATGTCTTATTCGGGATTTCCCCGACCGGTTCAGACGCGAACTACTCTCTTTGAGCTCATTCGTCGACGTAGTAACTTGTCTATCCTTCTTCGAGGATTGAGGATCCCGCATATCGACATTGTCAGGATGGAGGTATCAACGAGAGTGCCTGTGTCGCTGAGTGAGCAAGAATGGGACTATCTAGAGGAGGATTCACGCTAACGGGATGTGGTAAAGTGTTTACTACCAGGCTAGATTGGGAAATCGCGGCCCTCAAAAAGGTGCAGTTCAGGTGCGCCTGCCTCTTCGGTTAGAGGAAAGCAGGCCATTATAAGTTGATCCCAGCCGCATAAATCGAAGTAATATCATTTACTCTGTAGATTCGCGTCTGGCATATGCCTACGAATGTTGAATGTACGTATGTGCCCACAAGAGGTCTACGGGATATCCCATACTATCTCTTCTGGAGACCGAAATTTTGACCAGCCATAAGCCTAGAGGACCTTCTTCTGCATAGAGATGATGAAAGTACTAACAGTCCAGCAATAACGCTACTAAGCCCAATTCTCAAATAGAAAAAAGTCCCCTGGCTCTGCTGATGTAAGCTAGAATGCGGGGATGTTCTCCGTCCTTTGCCATAACTATAAGTTAGCTGGTAGTATACAAACTTACTGAGTTATCCCCCAGCCTTGCTGAAGCACCGAACTCTTCCTCTCTTCCCTCAAAGCAGTCATCATGAGTCCGTCGATGTCCAATTATTCGCCCTTTTGCTCCCTGCCACCTGAACTCTTACTTTTAATAAGCGCTTGCTTAGACTGCTCAGCCTTATGTTCTTTCCGTCTCACCTGCAAAACCATATACGACTGCTCCTTTCCTCGATTTTGCAAGTATCTCGAAAACATAACGACAGACCTGTCTCTGGCATCGCTACAAAAGCTAGACACATTATCGCGGAATCAACGACTGTGCCCCTTTATCCAAACGTCGAATATTGACGGCACAGAACAGGATATCATAGGATCGGGACTTACGTGGGAACATCACCAGTCTGGACTCCTTGTTATCCCACAAGAATCTATTCAACGGTGGCAAGATGTGTTACTGCGCCTAGTGAATTGCCAGAAATTTCGTCTGTACAAGTGGGACACGCCCGTTGATCCCGACCCATTCGATCGAACAACCCCTAACGATGCAATTACAATCCTGCTCAGCATTGTTATTGCAATAGAGCGTCCAATACGAGAGCTAAGCATCTTGTTCAAACGGCCAAATATCATTTCGGTGGACCAGCTCGACTTGTCCCGCGTCCACAGCAGCCTCCTTCAAGATCCGAAGTTCATTACTACATGCTGTTCTAGTCTGGAAACCCTCACGTTTAGATTCAAAGTGGAGGAAGAAGACGAGGCTGATTTTGTGGTGCATCTCATACATCATGCGAAGCCGCGCCTAAAACGACTGACAATTGATTTTTCTTTCGGCGAATGCTCGGCGCCTCTTATGTTTGACTTGTCTCTGATGATACGGCCTCCCCTAAGACTACAAGAGCCGGATCTGATTTGTGGCTGCGTGGACTCAGACCAGGATTTGATCAGGTTTCTGTTCTCCTCCAAGCAGACCTTGGTCAAAATACACTTCAGCTTTTTCAAAATCGATTTTGGGGGGTGGCCGGCCATTTTCAGGACCCTTTCCGAATTTTCATCACTGACCGAAATTTCTGTAAGTCAACTAAGCGGATATACGACGCGGGGGCGATATGGAACGTTATATTTTCGTGAGCTGCTGTGGGACCCTATCGTTGATCCTGTTCTAGGGACAAAGTTCTCTTATATGGTTGAAAGTCGTACAGGGAGAACCACTGTGAAGGTTGCTTACTCTGGCCGTAGTATGAATATTGCATTACAGAAGTTGGCCGAGTATGCAGCTTCCTGGTATGGTGAGAACAGCAACTAAACCAGCCCAATTGCCATTACCACCACCTTGATACTTTTTGGTGTATATCTTGAAGATAGATATAGCCTTCGGGATTATTCGATTTGTAGCAAATGAATGAGTGAAATACATGCCATCTTGAAAGCATTATTCTACCTTCATCTTCACTATGCTAATCGAGTAAATAGAAGTAACAGGCAATATTATTCTACAATATAGTCTCAGAGTCATGGGGATAGTAAGTACAAGAGATATAGTTAGTGTATCTGGGCTATCCACAGCTCTCGATACTAACATACATCACTTACCAGATTGTCAAGCAGATCTCTTTATTTCCTTCACCTATTATATATCTCTCACCCTACAAAGATACAGTAAATAGAGATACATCATGGTCTTCACCTCCTTTCTCTTCTACTAAAACCCATATTGACTCCCTGTCAGATCATCGTATATTAACAATAATTACTGATGCCCAAAAAGATCATTCATCTAGTAAATCGTACTTCGGAATCATTTTATTTTTAGTATAATCAATTGAACATACATACTATTCACTCAACTTAAACTGTTTTCAAATCCCCATACGAGTACCCCAATACTACCATAGCACCATAACATATTTACTACTTCCTATAGTACTATCGAAGCAACACTATAATCTCACTCCTGCCCAACCGGGCAACCCATCCCATTTCTCCTTATCATAAAATACCCACCAATACTGCCCGATCTCCCCCACTCCACTCCACCCTAAAGAAAACAAAAGTACATGTATGTATAATATCTACCCTGGCCTTAAAGTTTCCCACTACTGCAACTATTCCCTGATCTCTGGGCCGGATCCTTGTGAACTTATGACAAGTATTATTTCTTGACGTTTCCATGAACGAAAGGACGGAAGAAGTACCTTGCATGGATACATACATGTTGATCTCATGCTGCATATGTAAATCCGCTGTGCATGTGTGAAGTAAATGCCGGTATCTTGTTTTCTGGGTGCGTCTGCAGGATCTAATCTTACTTTTCCTTTCCATTCTCTGATCCCTGTCCTGTTTGTTCTCAGGTGTTTGGTAGGATGGTTGGGCTGCGAACTAGACTAGACTAGACTGCTGATGAAGTCCTAATACTAAGTTTATTATAACTACTAAGTTGGGTATCTTAAATCCTAAACTATTACAAAGGAAATCAAACACAAAGGAGAAAAAGGATAATATCGTACAAGGAATTGAATCCCATCTGCCCGATCCTTCATGTTGCCCCCGAACGGGGTGGTGCTGAACACTCGATGAGACAGTAGAACAATCGAGAACATCAGCCCCGGTCAAGGCCTGTGTCTCCTTCATTGTCGGGCATGAATCCATCACTGCTCGGAGTTTGACCGAAGGTGGAACGAAAGATTTCTGGCCGCAGGATCTGGTTCAGTTCAGCCGCACTTAAGCCATCACCACATAGCGTCACACACAGCCGCCAACGACTTATATCCCAACCAAGTAAATCAGTTCAGGCCTCCGTTCAGGTCTATCTCCTGAAACCCCATTGCGCCCGACCAGATCTTTGCTCCCTAAATGCGAAACAAAGATGTGGAGTGTTCATAACCCTTCAAACGCCGACTGGAGAACAAGTAGCGTCCTGTTGTTTCTCAACTTTTTTTTTTCCAATTTTTGTTTTTGTTTTTTTTTTTCCCATCCCGTTCTCTTTCCCTCAGCTGGCATACCCAGATTCTCTCCTGCCAATAGGGCGGAATCCTGACCCGGGAAATGAGCTGACACGAGGGGCCAGCATGGAGTGGGGGCGGTGCCTGAACACGCCCGACGTATCCAAAACTGTGGAAAGAGGAATTTGGGGGTTACCGACGGCCTGGTCAAGGAAACGAAAAAGGAAAAAGGAGACCAAGGAAAAGTCGTGAGCCACGAGTCGTGACGAGGCTTACTCGGACGCCGCGATCTATCAATCGATAGTCCGGCGCTGGGCGTCGGGTTGGCTTTGCTCCCATCCACTAGACTAAACTAGTCCCTGCGTTAGGGGCCCTAAGCCCGCCACCATCACAAAAGTACGATCCAGCCGAGTCTGCGCCAGGCGTCCCTCCAGCATCCAACCCGGTTATGCGCGGCCCCAGGTTAAGGCTTCAATGCCCGTCATCGCGAAGCGGCTTGGGAGCGAAAGACGTCCGGTCGGCCTTCGACAATATCCAGACACTGGCCCATGACTGTCAAGCGCGTTAGAAACCCTTTACGGTATAATGGGAAGAAATCTTCCTAAAGAGCAACTCACTGGAGAGAATCTCCTCCTCCCAAATCCCCATCTGGTAATCAACTAGCCCATGGGGCTCCATCCGATCGCAGAACTGGATCAGCTCTTTGCCCATATTGTCCATCGCGTCGCCACTGAGGAGACTAGTTTGGGGCGGCTGGCGACCGGTTTGCAGCAGTTCCTGAGCCAGATCTTTCTGCTTCTGGCATACCGCTAGCCAACAAATATTGAAATCATTCCAAATTTGCAGTCGATCCGCATGTAGCATTTGATCATCCCGGAGGATACCTAATGATAGAGCCGAATTAGCCTTAAGGTTCATAATCTAGTCGCTCAAACCCCGGTCTCGCTGTGTGCGTCAAGCGAATGCGAATCAAGTACCATGCATTTTTAGGTACATGCAGGTAGTAACCGGGCCAGGAGCTAAAGAGGGGGGAGGGTGGGTAAGAAACCCATTGGCGTGGGAATTGGTGAGAACGCTAAGGGGACATACCGAGCTCCCGCGCATTAGTCACAAGCCACTCGGAGATTTCCAAGAGTGATCTACTAGCCTCTACCAATCGGCCGGCGCGCGTACTATCAAATGTCTCTCGCAATGCTCGTTGGAACTGGGCAAAGGCTTCCTTCAGGCCAGTCGACTCGGACCCCACTCGGGACGGTGTTTGTAAGTGTTGTTGCTGCTGTTGTTGCTGCGACGGCGACGGAGGCTGCTCCAAACGTCCAGACACTTCCACCGGAGTCAGTTCGGCCATAGCTGCGGGAAAGACGTGCGGAGCGCTCGAGCGTCCAATGGCGCCGGCTTGGTTATATGCGGACAAAGGGAGCTGCGATGACAGGTAGGGCGGACCCATGGCCGGAACCCCTGTGGCCGTCGGTTCATTTGGCGGGAAATATTGTGGAACACCAAACTGACTAGACAGTGCTTCCATCGCTGCAGATTGCCGTGACGGGTATGGTGGGACGAGCTCGTACGGGGCTTGTCCCGGGTCCTGCTGGCTGAGGTTGTATACCATCTCGGAGTCATAAGGAGCTAACGGCTGGTGTACCGGCTGATGCTGGCGCTGTTGGTCGCGCAACGTTGGCGTGTATGATTGCAACTCATCCCCCTGTAGCGAACCGCCTTGAAAGGAAGTGTCGGTGTATCCATAGTCCAGGTACGTGGGCACTCGAGGACGCCCGGTAGCCTGAGAGGGATCTCCCCGTGCGGATGGCACCCCAGTCTGTCTGAAGCGATCCGCCGCGCGGCGGGACATGCCAGCTCTAGTCGCAAAGCGGGTATGAGGATCATGCTGCTTCATGCGCCGGATCTCGCCATCCATACCCCCACGCACTGGATCGAGGTCGAGAGACCAATGCGCGAGTGGGGAGAGCGGCGGGCTCACGTAGGATTCCAGCTTGGCGGGAGGGAGCGATCGGCTGTTTCTGAGGTAGGAGGTGGGATGCCCTAGCTTATTCGCTCGGTGGCTTTTCCTGCTAGCAGGGAATTGAGATCCAAGCCAACAAGAATCGCAGGTAAGCGCGCGGAGGGTCTCACGGTTTCACTTCAGCGCAGGGACGCGGGTACAACCAGCGCACGCGATCTAGATAGTCACCCACCGATCAGTCGTCGCCAAACCACATGAGTGCAGATGTGTAGCAGTAGGGGATAGTTGTTTACTCTAGATGTTTGCGCACCTTGTAGAAAAGCCAGAAATCTGTTCTAGACGATAGCTCGGCCCTGGATTTGGGGTGAATCGCACAACCCGGGGCTCGATCTATGTAGAAGACTGGGATGGCGGGGCGGAGGACAAGAGAAAGGAGGGGTATTATTTCTAACCCACTCGGAGAGAGAGAGGAAGAAAAGGCCGATATAGAATAGTCCACAAGACGAGAATCAAGACTGGTAGGATGATGCCAGGAACTAGGGGCCTAGTGGGGTCGACAAGAGCGGGACTTGGGATATGCTTATGCTCCAGATCTGAGTTGAAGACCGGTGCTGACTGGGAACAACTTGGGATCTTCTGACCCCAAATGCTCAAGAGTACAAAAGAGGAGGAAGGAGAAGAAGAAGACGAGGACGAGGACGAGGACGATGACGACGAAAGAAGAAGATGGATGAGGCCAAGTGAGGAGGGGAGAAGTGGGGGACCAGCGGACCGGGAGAAGATTGGGATGCACGGATTACTTATAGCATCGAGCAACCAGGCTGATGGGACAGCAAGAGGCCGGAAGATCCGCAGGGAATTATTGGAAAGCCTCTGGGGCCGGTCGATCAGGTTAGTCGGGATGGACAGCAGGAAACCATGAAACAGAAGAAAAAGGTGCCAGTATCAAGTCGGGTCAGCTCAACTCAGATCAGGCCGAATCAGGTTCAGTCCGAGTCAGTCAGTCACTCAGTCAGTCAGTCATGCCTTTTTGTCGCTTCTCCCCCAGTGGGCACCGGACAGCCCAAGAGACAGGCTGAGAGACCCTCCTTCACGCGCGCATAATGGACCCATCCGAGGGACTTGCAGACCCGAAAAAAAAGAAAGAAACGAATAAGACATCAGCAATGACTAGAAAGCGCGAGAAACGAGGGCGAAAAACAAACGAAGCCCATCGAGATGGAAAAAATCCCTGGGATGAAGGAAAAAGAAATGAGGGAACGCAGAGACTAAACCAGCAATCAAACCAGATGCAGGAGGCTTTTTCTTTTCTTTTTCTTCTTTTTCTTCATTTTCCCTCCTGCCATTTTCCCTGCAGTGGCTTTTTTTTATTTTTATTTTTATTTTTTTTATTCTATTATTTTATTTCTCCGAATAAAAGTGGAGAATGGATGACATTTGAATTTTATAAACAAATAGATTATAATTCTCTGTCTTAATTCATGGGGGTTTATTAATTTGTATCTTGCCATATTTAATTCAATTGTTTAGGTTAAAATGTAGGGGGATGTTTGTGTGTTTTGGTCACAAATAGATTGGTAGGCTGAGCCTAATTCAATACCTGACAACGACAGCAGCAGCAACAGAACAGTAACAAAAGGAAACGAAGAAGAAAAAAAGAAGAAAACACAAAGCATGATTGTTTGCATGGTTAATTTCTACCACCCCCTTTCCTTCATTGTTCATCTTCGTGTTCCTTGAATCCCCCCTCCGGCTCTTCTTCCTTCCCTTAAAAAAAACCCCCACCGCCGCAAGGAAACTGATTAATCCATCCAAATGGGACGCACTACGTCCCGAAACGGGTATCAGTCACTGGTGCGAACCTAGAATGGCTCCATCTGCTGAACTAATTGATCAGCTCATATTCCTTTTGCGGACCAATCCACCGGGACGATGACCAAAGGATGCGAGAAGTTTACAGATGGTGGGTGGTGCTGAGACAAAAGAGTAAGAGAGAGAGAGAGAGAGAGAGAGAGAGAGAGAGAGAGAGAGAGAGAGAGAGAGAGAGAGAGAGAGAGAGAGAGAGAGAGAGAGCGTGTGGAGCGTGTGGGCGGCAGACAGGAGGATCACTAGGATCACTTCATAGTTACGATGGTGGCCCCCACAGGAGCCGCCTCAGATCCATCGCATTCCTACGAAACGAAAAATTGAAAAATAAAACAAAAGAAAAGTGTCGGGAGCCAAGGATCTTTGCAATCGTGCTGAAGATCAGTCAGACACGAGGCGCGCGGGGCTATTCGGGGCTGAAAAGTACCTGCTTGAACCCGACTCAGCATTATCTACATCCCCATATCACACTATCCGTTCATGCACCTTGTCAACACTCCCTCGTCTCACTGTCCGCTCTCCCTCTGATTGCCTCCTAGAGGATGTGATTAAGGTTAATTGCTCCAAGATGGGACGGCCCATAACTACATATTGTACTGGCCCAGGTATGGATCCTCTAAGTACTCTCTAGTATCTACTAGTCAGGGACTAAAGCCGTCCAGGCTAACCTCAGCTTTTGAACTTCAACACTACTGAGACACACCTAGTCCTCATTCCAAATTCGGGGATCCGTCTACTCGCTCCACAATCAATGGATCGATTGATTAATTGATTGATTCCCACTTGCTGGGCCGACTTCCCCGAACAGACTTCAAAGTCAACTTTAAGCCCTTCCGAAACGCTATTTGGGTGATCGTCTTCTGGTCCATGCACCGAACCGTGTCCCAGTCTTCTGGATCGGGTTTGCAAGCCGGGGGAAGATCTACGCCCATCTGTATGAAAAGGATAAGAAAAAGTAAATTGGAAGCAGCCGAAGGAACACCCAGAACAAGGCAAGAAGCAGTAAAAGTACTACTTTCGCGGTCCGGTTCCACGGAAACCCGCCGCCATGGCCACTGAGCTTTACGAAGATCGGCTTAGGACCCCGGGAAGAACCGCTTTCTGGGATTAGACGACACCGGGGAGCTGGATGGTGGATCGATCAGTGCATTATTGTGTACCAAAATGTTTAAACGCAGCGAATTGTGATGTCCCAGCAGAATAGTCCTAGTATGGAGTACCGGGTCGGGAAAATAGTAGTGGCCTTTGCATCATGCAGCCATCCAGCTACCACCTCCCAGCACGGTCCAGGTTTCGCAGGACTTTCTGTCGATTGTTGCAGACTTCTGCTTGGTCCGATCCCAATCAAGGATCTCCATACAGCCAGTGAAGTCGCTCAATCGATGGATGAAGTCAATGATCGTGCCGTGCCTGGCTAAGCTGCCGGGTCGCACACCTTCCGGCCTGCTGGGAAGGTCATGCACCTTCAGCGACCAATCGAGGCCACGCTTGTCGGAGCAACAGGGGGGATCTGCAGCACTGCGATTGGAGCAAGCTAACTTTAGTCTGCAGCGCAAGGAGACCGGGATCTGGTCTTAATTCCATTTCCTTTTCTTATTTTGGGTTAGATGTATTCTATTCTCCAGTTTCCCAATTGTTTTCTGTCATGAGATTTTGGAATGTTCGCATTACTACTAGCACCAGCGGAGCGCTAAATGGTAGGGCGTGACAGGGTGAAGCCCGGCGTGCCACTAGAACGGCGTCCGAAGAGCCGGCGCCGCTTTTAGGGCCTGTCAGAAACTCCAGCTAGACCTGGGGGCCGTGATCCCCACGCACGCGCCGAAAGTACGGCGTCTCCACGAGAAGAGATTCCAAATCATGGGTCCGAGTCATCTTGAGCGATATACGGAGCTCATAGGACATGGTTTCCAAGGTTTCCAAGGTTTAAGGGTATGAAAGTGAGGCGGGTCCAGCCTCACCACTTTCACACTAGATTTCAGGATCGCAGTCATCAGTCGACCATCGCACCCTTTAGTGGCTATTCATAAGGATGATCGTCAAGCCCAGGACAATGGAACAGGCGACATAGGATGGGCTTGCCTCGTGCTTGTTCTGACAGCTGCTCTTCGTGCCAGCCGGGGATCCGAGTGTCCTGTCATTATCCCTCTGAGCCGCTGGCTCAGGGAGCTACGACCAAGCAGGCAAGTGCAACAGTATAGTAAAGCGCTCTATACGACGCTAATTTCGGCGATATCTGGAGATACAATCTCTTCGGTATCAATCGGAAGCTTGTCTACACAACTGCATGCGCACGAATTTTAAACACTCTCACTGGCAGAGCTGGCATGGTCTGGTGTTTAATGAATACAATGAACCCACCAAACGTACTGCATGACTCCCAATTATCAAACCTATCCGCGGAGAGGCTATAATGCCATTATGTGTGGGACTATAATCTCCACCTGATTTGCGCATCGGCGGTGGGCTCATATCCACACACAAGACCACTTCCCTTAATTTTGTCTACCCCATTTCTCCGATATAGTCATCAGTCGATTACCATCAGCATCACCAAGGCAGCTCTTTTCCTTTCTCACCCCATAGGTCCGCGTAAAACAATGCTGCTTCCAACTTGTCCAATTGGCCGACCAACTACAGGGCTGCTCCCCTTCTCCGCCACAGCCTGACGAATACTCTAGTTTTAGATCTCGATCGCATCGTCCAATAACGTCACTTCCAGGATCCCATGAGTTCCCGAGACACAAAGGTGTAAGATGACGCTGGCCATGACCACAACAGCAGCAGGCAGATGAATGCTTGCCCCAATCATGATGGAGGGAATTCCCAATCGAACGGATGACGACACAACCAACCACACCCATTTGATGAGAAAGATCCGGCCGTATATACCTTCCTATCGCGTCGTCCGGGTCCCGGGAGTAAGAAAAGACCAAAAGAAAAGGCTCATTTCATTCATCTGGAACCTCGCTTCGCTCTCTGTGTTACCACCAGCAGGTTCCAGCCCGTCTTTTCTTTCTCTATAGGGGGGTAAGGAAGGGAAAGGAAGTGGAAGGCCGAGAGTACCTTCCGGTTCATCACCTTTCCTTCTTTTCAGTCCCCGATCAATGGGGCGCCACGTTATGGATAGTCGCGTCCTGGCGTTCGACACTACCGACCGCTTGGGGCTCCCTGTGTAACGAGAGATTCTGGTCGCTACTATTATCAGGCTGGATTCAATCCCGCAACCTATCTAGGCAATCATGAGTCTGGCTAGTTGCTAGGAGGGACTACTGACTAGCCTGAAACGTTCATTCTGGTAAAATGATCTTCGGTGCCCGTTTCTTAAAGGTTAACGGTGTTTGCGCCTACTAAGACAGTAGATTATGTACATCTTGGTCGCGTTATGTCCCCTTTTTTACAGTTCCCCTATATCGACCACGAGTCTGGCCGTCCTAGTGTCCAACAACTTCCCCCCCTTCCTCCCCCCGAAACCTCCCTTTGTCTGGAAAGGGGGTGGGTGACAAGACGGTCGGAGGAAAGAGATCATGCTCATTGACCACAAATCCCAAGTACTGTTGGACAAACAAGTCACCCTCGGATAATCCTCTTAGTCAACGGGGCATTTCTACCTCGTCCAATTATGCTCAACACCCCCGTCGCACAGATGGTCTACACTATAGTTTCGGTTCAATTGTTCAACGCCAATAGTTACATGCTTGTCGCCGAGAACATGCAGTGTCGTGTCCTGAAACGAATCCTCGTGACACCAGGTTGAGATGCTTGCAATACAGGATATACTTTCGTCGAGAATCACAAGGCCAAGTGGAATAATACAACCAAGGAAATTAAAGGGGAAAAGGGGAAAACAGAAGACAGGTAGAGAAACAATCCCTCCAAAAGCCAGAGAGGGAGGGATAAGTAAAAAGACAGAGGGAGAAAAGAAGAAGCTGGGCGTAAGGTAGGCAGGTGTGCTTTCACCGCTTGACCCAAGTGGGCATCTTGCGGGCCTTGACATGACCGGGCTTCTTTCTCTCCACACGACGGGCATCCACGGTAACCACACCAGCTGTAAGAAAATAAATCGGTCAGCAATTCGCTCCACTACTACCAACCAATTCGTCGGGAGTCGGAGATACGTACCCTTCCGCAGGATAGGCTTAAGAGCAGGTTCGTGAACCAGCAGAGCCCGTGCAACAGCCAATGTAATAGCCTCCGCCTGACCGGTCACTCCTCCACCGCGAACGGTAGCCCACACGTTATACTTGTCGAGCCGTGACGTACACCGAAGAGGCCAGACAGCACTCTCACGGTCATGTAGACGAGGGAAAGCCTCGTTCAGCGTCTTTCCGTTCACCAACACTTCACCCTCACCCTCGACCAGCTGCACCACCGCCGAGGACGCCTTGCGCTTGCCCTTACCACGGGCCTTGCCCTGTTCATCCACCGTCCTGGGGGCGGGCTTGTTTCCATACGGATTACCCGGACGAAGGAAGAAGTTGAGAGCCGTACGAACCTCCTCCGGGGCAACCTTGGGGTCGATGCGGTTGAGACGCTGCAGGAGCTTGATGAGGCCCTTGTACTTCTTGGTCGGGACGGGCTCGCCCACGGCATCACGGAACTGAAGCAGCTTGAACCAGGCCATTCTGGGGGCTTCGCTAGGAGACACCGTGGGTAGTGCGGCATACTTGGCCAGAAGGGCTTCCAGCTTCAGCATGTGGTCGAAGAACTTGGGGCTGCCGGAGAAGTAGGCCGGCGACACGGGGATAATGCGGGCAGGCTGGATCTGGAATTTGGAGAACTCAATGGGGGGAGCAGCAACGGGTTGTAGTTCTGTCGCATAGCTGCGGGCATTCTTGTATTGCTGGAGGAGAGCCGGCGTGGAGGGAGAGGAGACCGGGGATGATGCGGAGATCACGGAGCGCTGGACAAAAGGCCGCAATTGAGCAGTTCGACGGATGGAGTGCATGGCGTGCACAAGGCCATTGGGGCTTTGCCAGGCCATGATGCTGCAGACCGGCTGGCAAAGGAGGGGCCTGGGAGGGATGTGAGGTGAGAAAAAGGGCGATTGGGGAAGGGAGAAAGAGGACGAAGAACACCAACGGACCCAACCGACAAGATTCGCCGGAACCTTCAACTTCTTGCTATCCTGAGGTTTTTCGCCGGAGAGATCACGTGCCCGGCAGCAAAGGTTGCTCCGGCGCCGAAGCGGTCTGATTCGCACAAATTTGTTTCGAGCCCCTCGACAAGCTGCCGCCGCCTTTTTTCTCCCTCTTTTTCCCCTCCTCCTCTCTCCCTTTTTTTCTCTTCTTCTTCTCCTCCCTCCTCATCTTCCTCCCACACATCCTTCACAATGGCCTTCGGAAAGCTCTACGGTCTCCCTGTATGTGTTTCTGCATGTGTTCAGGAAGCTGTTCTTCCCCTTCACAGGGTTTAGATTAGCTTCCTATTGCTGTCGCTGAGAACACCTGGCTAATAGACTCCATAGGAGAACGGTCGCACCATTGCCTGCCTCGTCGCGGCTAAGGCCAACGACGTTGAGCTTGAGCTGGTCAAGACTGAGCCCAACTCTGGTGCCTCTTTCAACCAGTCTGCTGAGTACACCAAGATCAGCCCCCTCGGCAAGATCCCCGCCTTCGAGGGTGCCAACGGCTACACTCTGTCTGAGGTCATTGCCATCGCTGTCTACGGTACGTTCTCCCTGAATACGCCCTGCGCGTTGCAATCTCGTTTGCTTGTTTTATGATGAGTATTTTATTTCAAGTTATCCCTGTCAGAACTGGTAATAATAAAAATAATGTTGATAACGTTTGACTCTGAAAAAAACCATCTCTTTACCCCACTTTGGGGGTGAAGAAATTTCGTTTTGATTATTTGATGATCACGCAATTGTCATTTGGTTGGACAACTCATGCTGACTCGAATAAAAGTGACCTCCCAGAACGAGAAGACCACCCTCTTGGGTAAGACCAAGCAGGACTACGCTTCCATCCTTCGTTGGTTGTCCTTCGCCAACTCCGAGCTCCTCCCCCGCTTCGG